TTACACTGCAGGACTATCTGAATTACGCTCATACTCGTCCAGACATTCCTTTTCGCTATTTACTCAATTATATTATTTTCTCAAGAGATTCCTATTAATATATTTTTCAAAATGTACCTCATAACAACGATTTGTTTTGCTGTCTTTGCTCCTGCTTTTACCAAATCCTCTGGCTGTCTGCAATTACCCTAGATAAAGAATTGAGAACATCATGTCTCGTAATAAACTTTTCTATTTACTTCAATAAAGTACACTCTAGGAAAAGTATTAATGAGTTGAAATACTTTTTGAGAAGGCTTGTTTGGGCAGAGTAAAACGATATCTTGCAGACTATCTGGTTTGATATGAGGAGAACGCAGGTTATAGATAAATTTAAACATATTGATTGCTTCTCGATGCAAACAAACTAGGATATGTCCAGTCATACCCTGTGCCGAGTTCAGAGTGATGTCTTCCAACTGCAATGGCTCAGTGAGTGAGTAACAGAGAGGTACAGATGTATCAGTTTCTTCACTCATATATACAGCAGAAGGCGCACGGGTGCCTATCCGCTTAATGAGTGCTCGACTACCAGTAAGGATAGCATGCCTATTAGATGGCAACTTGGCTATTGTGAAATAGTGAGTTTTCCCTGAAGCAAATGAACAGTACTCCACGGGCTGTGAAGGTGACCAGCCGCCAATGTTTGCTGAATTCATTTCAAAGGGTTTCTTTCTGATGACTGGCACATTATCTGCAATATAAAATCTCCTTGGTGGTGGCTAATTAAATAGGTAAGTTTACAAGTCAAAGTAACATTAGAGAAAAATACACAAACCAGATCCTCCAGATCACGAATTTCCCTAGGACCTTCTGCGATATAGACACAAACATCTTTGTCCTTAATGATATATGAATTACTTGGATTTAGCAGAATTTCATACTCGTTTTTTGAGTGTAAAAACGTTTTAACAGCAAACAAAATGACTTGGGCTTCCTCAAATAAGTATAATGATGCTTGACCAAAGCTTATGCCACGTACGCAGACAGGTGCATTACCTGTATATATTTCATTACACGAGCCGTCATCTGTAGGAGCAGTGGCAGTTAGAGTATGTTCTTGATATTTTAGCCTTACATACCAAACTGTGCTTGCCATCCTTCATCATAATTATTGATGGGCTGTCTCTGATGTAACAGGTTGGTTAGTAGTGTTGATGCTCCTCTACAGCGACAATTCATAGCCAAGAGATACTGCTTAAACTCTCTTACACATATGATCTCCTTTGCAACCTTCTGATATATGGCTGTTCTCGGCGACAGATTGTATGTGTATATAGGTACGTCATGACTTACTGTGTGGCAGTAAAGTGACCATAATCGAACTGTATTCCGCTCATCTTCTTTTGAGGGATTTGGTGCATTTTGATCTGTGTAACATATCAGCAAATAGCAATTACAGCTCTCTTCCTTATTTACCTGATAATGTGAAAATGGCTGCTGCGTATCGTGCGTTCTATGAATTTATAAATGAATGCGTTATTTATTAAAAGGTTGAACTACTTACTACACGTAACAGCGTTTTCTCGTCCTACACGAGCCATTTTTATCAGCCTGTATACACAAACGAACCATCTTCACGACTTACCAGAACAGAACCATGAAGGAATTGAACACGATGTCCCCAGATTGAGTTGCGTTCCATCATTTTTAACTGCTCAGTGGGTTTATTGATATCGAGAAATACGACATTGAGATGAAATTGAACGCTTTCCTATAAATGTATAAGCATTTCTCAAGAGTGTCATCTCTCTCTTCTTACTTTGTTTAGAAAGCCATCAAGGATTTCAACCACTTGATCAAATTTAAATGATCCAACAATAAGAATAAATGGCGTAGATCCTTTGCTGACATGGCCTTCTCCCTCTAAAATACAGTTTGGCTCATTTGTCACACTGCGATGTTTTTGCGCGCGATTTTTTTTTTTTTAGTTTACCTTTTCTTTTCTGTAGGGTATCACATACGTCACTGATGAGCCCAGGAAGTACGACCAGCGCGATTACAATCAGCAACATCATAACAACGCGACTCCATTGGTTATCTGGTGTGATGTCTATATTTTTAAATGCCTCAATACAGCTGACCATTTCGGGCAGGATTCATTTTACCTCCATATCCTACAGTTGAAAGAGTGACCATGACAACATATCTAGTGATCGTTTAGCGCCCCTTTTCATTATAGCTCTAACTGTTCTTACAAGGAGTCTAATATAGTATAGCTTTCATGTCCATAAGTAGCTTCTGTATATTGAAATGCACATGTGCCATTATACAGCAGTACAATTAAAGTGCTGACAAGGTGGATCAGCTTGGTACTCAACGGATCACTAGGCCTATCTGCTGTTTGTTAAAAATAATGGATTCTAGTTATTTACAAGAGATTACCTGTTATTTGTAGATTAACTTTAATCTTCATGACGCTCTTGATTCTTAATAGCAAAACCCAGCTTCGAACAAAGTAAGGCACTGTGTTCCAAATAGAGTTCATAATGAGATTTATTTCGTAAATATTTGACCTTACCATATAAGAACTGCCCATTCGGGATATACACCGATATCAGGAATGGTATCGTTGTTAATAGCTCAATAAGACATCGAAAACTGAAAATGACTGACATTGGGTGCATCGTGATAAAGAATCCTAGCACAAGCAATTAAACAACTGCATTGTTTATAGTTTGTTTACATACTGATGATAAATGAACACAAGTCCCAGTATGCAAATACAAGACATGTAATCCTACGCACGCAGCAGCCGTCTTTTTAGGTGATATAGTTTATCAACAAATGCCTTTGACTTACCACAAGTTGTATGATCGATAACCATACATCCATGGCGGCTCCAAGTCAAGAGTATTTTCTTCTTTCATCTCCACAAGGTATGCTAAACAAAATAACAAATCAACTAAGAGATCTAAATGTACCTAAAGTATATCATGTCAACACTATATTAGATGCACTTTTGGACTCTACTCACAAAGAGTATGATTGTCTTTTTTGCAAATAATATATTTTTAATTCTTGTGATATAAGGATTGAACTCTAGAAAATATTTGATGTTCTCTCTTAAAGATTGGTTCTGTGCGTAGTATCTATCATTCATGTCAATACACTAGTACAAGATATAGTTTATCAACGCAATACCTCGCTAGTCTCTTTTGATTTCTATATTTTGCTCTAACAGTGCTGAGATTAACACGAGATTGTCTTGGAAAAGAATGCCTTGACTTTTTTGACTCAATGACTTCTTTGGCACTGCAAGGTATGAATCAGTACTGTTATCAGTCTATGTCTAGCCTACATACCTTGGATCAAGTGCGGGTAAAACAAGGTCCGGTGAAAGTCTTGCTTTGTTCAATGATTTATCACTCGGATGGAAACAATCAACTAGCATCTTTGGTCTACACTGTCTTTGTTGCATGCGATATCTTTTTCTACTTGTGATACTCTCAGATATTTGAGAAGACGAAGTTGTTTGATGAGTAGCTCCATATCCTTGCCCTTGTTCAATATCTTTTAGTAGATCCTCTTCACTTCTCTCCAAGCTCATGGATAAGATAGATACTGGCACAAAGAGAAAGAAAGAGAGAGAGAAAAACGAGTTTATGCAGCATTTACATCTTTTAAACACTAGAACTGACGTCGGTCTTTAAAAGCAAGGTTCCTGTAACTGAGATATAGGCTCTTTACAAAAAAAAAAAAAAAAAAGGCTTCAGCTGATGCCTCCAAGAGATGTGTAAAGAGAAAATGATGCGTTTTTGATAAAGCATGTATTATATTAAATGTTAGTATTACTGTTTGTAGTAGTCTATGAAGTTTGACCAGAATATTATCTTTTTTGGACTGCTTTTTCTTAATATAGTTCATGTTGATCATCCTTCTGATCATTGAATGTGATGATATTGTAACACTGTGTATCAATAGATGGCAAATGAATACGATGAAGCAAAGGAGACATAAAGATGGCCTTAATCAAAGTTGTAGACATCATATCATTATCCATTGTGTTTTGTTTTTCTGTAAAGCCACGGCAAGCAGGAAAAAAAAAAAGACTTGATTCATTTGACCAGGAACACACTCTTTAAGAAGTGAAAGATGACCCTCTACTAACACTCACTCATTAAAAGCGGATGATTACACATGTAAGTCTTTATTTCCAATGTTGTTTCTAAATAAGGAAACATGCTGATGGACATAGCGCATATGCAGTTGTGTAAATGACTAGTGAGCAGTGCATGCCTATTATGTGCAAAGCGCAGGAAAATAAATTCGAGCTATCTTGGCCAACAAGTGTAAATCTCAATAGGCAAAACTTTCATGTTTATTAACACTATTACAGAGCCTTTTGAGCGACAACTCCGTATGACTGAAAGCTTCCATGAACGTTATCCAAACAATGCCTAAACTCCTTTAAATATTTCTTTTGTTCAGCTTCATCCTTAAGTCCTAATGCAGGGCCATAAGAAGACATTGTTCCCTTTATAAGCTCAACCCAATTCCAGGCCATTCTCTTGGCTGTGCTTGAATTACTGGCTATTGATATTTAGTTTAATCTTATTTATCATACGTAATTATTAAATACTTACTAGTATCAAGTGTTGCAAACTTTACTTCTATTACTCTGGCATTATCAGCTCTTCTTACCAACCCTTCTAACTTTCTGCCAATAAGAGGAGTTTGTCCTCTTTCTTTACAGATTTTGTGCACTATAAAAAAGAGACTAGTCAGCAAGAGGAAATGTACCATAGTAAAGGGAATATATGTACTTGCTACTACGGTATCATAGAAAGCATCGTCATTCTTCCTTGGTATCTATATATTATACTTTAGTTATGATAGTTCCTTATAAACGATGTATATCTGACCTCTGTATCTGATTCTATAAACTGTATGAAACCGCCTGGTTTGGTGATACGTAAAACTTCTTTGATGGCTTTTGGCCACTCAACCTCTCTTAAGCCAAAGACAAAAAGACGCATATGAACAAAATCAAATGTATTGTCCGGATAAGGGAGCCCCTCAAGTACGTTTCCAGTGTTGAACGTGAAGTTTGCAAGCTTTCGGTTGATGACATCCACCATATCGCAACCATAATACTTGCACTTTGGATATTCGCATATCGTGTCCTTTGACATATCAGTATACCATTCTATAACTTCTCTTTATGTTTTACCATAAGCCACACGCCTGAACCACATCCAACATCCAATACGGCTAACTCCTTGTTGAAATCGAGATTCTTGGTTACACTACTTAGAATGTTGCTACAAAAAAGAAAAATTCATGTGTCAAAAAAGGGCATCAAATGGTTTCATCTTCCTTGCTTACCCCCCAAACAAGTCTTTAATAACAGAATGTTGCTACTTAGGCATGAGTAATAGTAATATTAATATGCAAATAACTTACTGCCATTAATCTAAACTGTTCCTCTTCGTCTTTTGGTAACCAGTAGGTTGAAGTTTGGACTTGGTGAAACTCTCTTTTGGAGTTTAGGGTTATGTCCTTTGAATTACTTTCATTTGCCTCGGTTTGTCTTGTTTTTGTCATGGTTCTCTGTCTTATTATTCTCTTTTCTACTGCTTGTTAGAAGTTTCAGCAACCTCTTTCGGAAAGATGTCTCTTTTTCATAAAGTGCGCTAAAACACAAACCTGACTATAGATTGTATCGATATGTTCAGTAGGAAAAAAAAAAAGAAGTATATAAGAAGTTTTTATCGTCTACATTCTAACAAATATGTTACATCTACCAACTGTACTTGATTATATTGTGCTACGGTGCACGTCCCGCTCCTGCTTGTTTTACTATTAACTCCAGTCTTTCCGCTACAATATTAACTAATTATATAGAGTAGATATATAATCTAGAGTGTTGTAGGTGTAACACTTCTCTTAATCTGAGAAGACTATGCATATATACCTATATATCAAGTGCTTAAGCTGGTGAGTATCTTAGAATCTAGCAGGTAAAACAGCTTATGTAAGATCAAGTTGTTAAAGTGTTCATTCGCAATCGATCTTCCTTTTTTGGAATATACTTCTAAATGCATAATATGTCCTATTCAGGCATATTTCACTTCATAAAAAAAAGTATTAAACATATTAGTCAAAAGAGTTGATTGTGGTTTATATGAAGTGTTCATGGTAGATTGCTGAGATAATGGTCATCGAGTAGCACTCTCCTGCACTATGCTCATGTAATAACTCAACACGATAATAATATTGTATAATGTTCATATCAGGCGGCTGGCAGCGTTCAAACAGAGTCGATGGTTATTGATATTCCTCTTTGAACGCGTGACATGTACCTTTTTTCTGAATATAATACGTTTATTCTTAATTTCTCCAAGAGTGTTTTTAATTTCTCTAATAAAACCCGTTGTTTAAAGCAATGTTTATAATACAATGTATATGTGAATGCATGTATGTAAAAGAGTACTTTCAAATAAGAAATAGATCACTGCTCTTGATCCCACTGTTTCATATATTATTACATGAATGTGTCCTAAGGTAAAGACCTATCGATAATGGCTACAAAAGAAAAGTATCTTTTTTTTTTGGGCGCTGTATGCCGCAGCTCGATTGGTTCAAGCCTACCATTTGAAACAGCCATGATAAAACCAACCAAAGAAAACGACAGACGTGAAGCTACGAATCCTAGACAAGACTTCTAACTCCGACATTCTAATTTACCGTCACCGACATGCCCACTGCATCCCAAGCACCACATCTAGAACTTTTTTTTTGTCAGCCATTTGCTAGTATTCTGCCACGAAAATAGAGCTTACAACCAAAAGATTTCTCACTCAGGTTAAGAGAAGATCATTGGTTCGCATAAACTGCTTGCAGTGGTAGAATTTTATGAATAATCCGATCCAAAGAAGCACAGCGATATGGATTGCATGTGTAGAGAATTGGATGATTTACTTGTATGAAAATAAATCGTTCATTCTTTCAAGAAACGAGAGATGGTACCAAAACAGGGTGTGGACCATGATAGACAGACTGCTTGATCTAATGGATGACGTAAAAGTGTTAAGGTGACTAACGCATACGCAACAGTGCATCACTCGACATATATCTAACAAACTAAATAAAGAAGATATTAGCCTCAAGGTCAGCGGTAGAAGGAAAAGAAATTTGGACGTATTGTATCATTACCGCTAATCTCTTTTCTTCAAAAATGTGCCAATCATTTTTTCCCGAAAAACGTGTCCTTTTGCTCTTACTAATCCCGGATATCGGACGCAAATGATGAAATCAGGAGAGATGAAGAAAACAAGTGATCCGACACAGGATCTTTATTCAAATACATTGGTGTGCTAAAGTACTAAGCTCTTATATCTAAACATAAAGAGGCTAGCTACTTACAACTGAGCGCACAGACCCTATTTAGAGTTTAGTACGTTTACACTTGTTAAGCCTAGCCTAGTCTATCTATCTATACTTGCTTTTTTCAAGTAGACCATCAAGATGGATTTTTGTAACGTATATTCCTTGTCAATAATAAAGAGATTTCCAAAAGCGTTCTAGTCAATAAATATAAAAAACCTTGTGAAGTACTATAAAATCAATAAAAGCGATTTTTATTTATATAATGATCAACATATCGTCAATCACATGTACACAGGGGAAAAGATGACGATGAAAAAAAGACAAAGATGCACCAGATTTGTTCTAACCATATTTTATGATCACTTTAAAAAATAAAACCAAAAAAAAAACTATTACATTTTGTTAGAGTAAAAAGAATAAGTATGACTCATTCTATTTTGAAAATGATAAACAAAGCCCTTCTTGTTATCAAGTGTTTTGATTTGCGACAAAACCTTTAAACCGCCAATCCCTTCCGAACAGGACGTATTGTTTACTATGATACCGGATATACGTTTTGACCAATCAAAATTAATAAAAGGAAAAAGACGGAATTTGCGGATAACCGTTTTGACAGATCAAATTATATATAAAAGGGGAGCTCTCCTTTTTTTTTTTTCTATTGTTATTCATATTCCTTTGCATCTTTTCTTTAATATAAACAAACATGGGTCTCTCAAGTCATTTATCCAAGTTATTCAAGAAGACATTCTCTACTACTAAAGACGAAGAAGTTACTACAAATAACAATACACCTGCTGCATCGATCTACAGTGCTGACGGTTCTCGTCCTGCTTCTATCGTAATTAATACTGGTTTCATTCGTGATCCTACTCGTTGTGGTAATACTCCCGACGTTCTTGGTCAATATTATGATCCTATGGGTGGCAAATTCAGTCTTTTGCATGGTGTTGATCCAACTAATACTGGCGCATAAACCATCACATTGTATGACCAAGATACCCGCATAAACCCTTTACCGGTCAACTCATTTTTTATAACGGCATTTTGTTATCATTTGACTCTTACAATAGACCTTCTTTTATTACAATCATTACTATTTTTATTCATTATTATTACTACTATTATTATTACTATCATTATCGGTTAATAAATATTTTCCAAGATCACTTCATTATGAATTTTACTATTTTGATCTATTTCATACCCGAGGGCGCTGAACAGCTGGTGTAACAGCAGTTCCGACTTTTAATTCTTTGCTGGCAACCTCTTTCTTTTCTCTCTTGCTCTTTTCTTTAAAAGTTAGAGAGAGAGCATAAAGATCAAATCACTTGAGCAACTGTAAACACTAAAGAAGTAACAAAAATCAACATATGACGTCGTTAGCTACTCTCTACAGCGAATCAAATGAGGATTTTTATCGGTTTAGGTCAAAGAAACTACTACATTGATCGATAAAAAGAGATAAGATACCGAAGAGAAGTAACGCTAGGGAGTATATTGCTAGGATATATTGTGTTAAGGACAACAACATCGTCAACTCGAATCCTCAACAGTCATTTACTCCCTTCACAACTTCGTATACTCGGTCTTTTTCAGGAGAAAAAGTCTCTTTTTTCTTGATTGATTCCAAAAAGCTCATGCTGAATCCTAACGATAGATTCAAAATATCTGAAAAAAAAAAGAGATTTTGCATATCAACTCTTCTTTTCAGACATTATTTCACATAAACAAACAAGTTATTAGAATTAAATTATAATATCACTTATCAATTCTTTTAATTGTTGTCAATAGCTCTTTACACTGAAAAGCTCATATTTGTAGGATGACAAGGTTGATATACTAGGTTTTACCCAGCATGAAGAATAGCACAACACCTCAATCATGTCTCTCTCTCTCCATGTTGTATTATATATATAAATATATATATATATATATATATTGCTGAGTATGCTTAGCTACACTGTTACTTGTTTTGGCTTGTGACAGTTTAGTTAGTCTGAGATAACACTAAAAGAAGCTAATTTCACAAAAGATATTTGTTTCAGGCGCAGAAACAGTTAAAAGGAGGCACATTCATCATTATCTATACTGTATAGTCCCACTCTTGAACTAGCATCTCCCTATCATTAGTAGCTCGTGAGATGATATGAAAAGCATTCTTAAAGAAAAAGACTACATATATATATTATAGTGATGTATTTCCAACCGCGGCAGATTAAGCTGCGATAAGTTTCTTAAATCGGTTAGTCTGAACCGTGTCTCTTCTCAGCTCCTTTGTTGTAAAATATCTTACGCATTGTTAATATCAACTCAACCATTGTCAATGCAACATATTAAGTCTGACCTGGGCAACAATAACTAGATCAACCCAAAAAAAAAAAAAAGCAGAGAGACAAGTGAGTAGATGGTAAATTGAAATGTGCATTTTTTTTATTATTATTCATTCAACTGAATACTATTACAACCTAATATACACAAAAAACTAAAGATTCTTTTTAAGTAAAAAGTTATATCTTTTTTTAGAAATAATATAAATTAAATTAACATGTAACCAGCGGCACCAACAGCGATCAAAGAGAGAGCAGGCTTGACCATGGAACCAGCAGAGGTGGACTTTTGAGCAACGGAAGAAGGAGCAGTGCTAGTGACAGCAGATGGGACAGATGCAGGAGTGCTAGATGTAGCGGCGGCAGCAACAACAATAGGAGCGGAAGAAGAAGGAGCGGCTGATGAAGCAGCAGCAGCAGCAACAACTGGAGCACTGGATGAAGCAGCAGCAGCGGGGGCGGAACTGGCAGAAGAGTTGTTTCCGCTAATAGCAGTAAGAAGCTTACCATCGCCCCAAGGGATCTTTTCACCAGTAGGCTGAGTCTGTTGAGGTTCTGGTGTCAATTTGTCGCCATTAGCAGCGACAATACCGAAACGAGTTGTCCATGCTTGATCTCCTTGAGAGCCTATTTATATATATATAAGTCATTTTTGTGTAAAAAATCGAATTCATTCGTGTCGCAACCTGTAAACATGAAGAAATAGACTGCAGAGTTTGGTGAAACTTGAGGAGCAACGAATGGGTACTTTAAGAGGTTAGCAGGAACACCCTATATATAAAATCATGTAAGTGCTTTGCTGTTGTTGTTATTGAAATGTATAGTTACAGTAGCAACAGTGGCCAACTTTTTCTGTTCGAGGTTGCTTCCAGTCATGAAATCTATACAGTGCAGACAAAACTGTTAGTTGCATTGGAGAATCTATTGTCTTATTATTCATTACCAATTTGGTATGTTTCGCTAGCATTCTTTCCATCAAAGGCTATAGAAAAAGAAAGGAAAGCTGGTTACTATCCCGTTGTCGATCCATACATTATACATACTCCAAGTGATGTCGTAGCTTTGACCTTGAACTTGAATGGTTCCGGGTGAAGGATAGGTAGGGGCCACAGCAGCTTCGACATTCACGAAAGCAGCAATAAGAGCAGCAGAAGTAGCAATGAATGTCTTTACGGAAACCATTTTGTATAATTTACTTTTTATGTATAAAAAAGAAGAAATAAAGAGAGAAAGAAAGTCAGGAATCAAATCCTCTTATACTCGAGGATTGCCACACAAATCAGGTAATCATTACTGTGGTTCACTGCCTCAAAAAAACAATATGGTTGTTACACCTTGGTTTATAAAAAGAAAACATGTCCTGGCGGGGTTTGCTTTCTATAGGGCTTGGGTCTGTCGACTGCCATGAGGTTAGTGTTACAGGTTTATTTTTATAAAAAGCATATCGCACGCTTTTACCAAGGTAATAATAAATTATATCACGCTTGCACGCTTTTTGTGAATTAAAAACAAAATCCCGTGGCTCAAGTCACGTATACACGGCATTATAAAAGACCAATTGATATTGCAATTAATAATAATGTTGTTGTTGCTGTTGTTGCTGATAGCATCCGTGCGCACGCACGATCAAAGCCCGTTTAGTAAACAAAAAAAGAAGGGAAAACAACAAAAAAGAGGGAGGCTTGAAGGGAGAAAAAAAAAAAAAAAAGATGCCTATTTTTTTTTTTTTTTTTCCCTTGACAGTAAAATGATAGTTGATCACTTTGTTGGCATCAATTTTTTTTTTATATTTTAATCGATCCATAGTTTTTTTCATAATTTTTCCATTTAGCCTTTATTTTATTTAGCTTCTTTCTATTAATATATACAAATATAAACAAAAAGCTTTCCCTCGTTTGGAGATACTCCTACAAGGTCGATAATAAAGGCTTGTACACTTTTAGCAAGTTGGCATGTATACCAGTTTGAGGCATATATCTCTCCCTTGAGTTTATCTGTGTTGACAACCTTTCAAGTGACAAAAAGATATTGAAAATACGTTCAGTTGACTGCAAAACAAGAGAAAAAGGTCATCGACATGTCCACTTGTAAATAAGGTTTTCTTTACTCCTCAAAAGACAAATTACACAGAATTGCATCTCTAATTGATGAGGAATTACTAGCTTTCGATATCGACATTTTCCAAATCTTTTGCGACATGGCTATTCATGAAAAAAAGGAGGTGTGACTGTGATTGGGATGACACATCCAAAAGATGGAAAAGAGATTATGCTGAAGATCCTGCTGTATGTGTATGCGTGTGAAGTAAACAAAAGTGTAGAATGCAGATTTTTTATTATGTTATGCAATTTGAATGCAATATTGTATTTTTTTATACATGTATGTTATTTTTTAAGCGATGCAAAACATAAAAAGGAATATTTACAAATTAAAGGTGAAGAGCTTGTTGATGTTCCATCAGGGGGACGGAGGTACGTCGAGGTTTAGGTTGGTAATATAAATAAGTAGTAAGGTCATGATTATCTTCCTGTGATGAGTATATGGATGATGGTGAAGAAGATAAAGAGGGTGATAAAGAAGGTAGCTTGTGTAATTGACTAAAGTAATTGGAAGCATTTGATGGCGATGGTGCTGTTGTAGTTGTAGTTGTAGTTGTTGAAATACGACGATTATTAGGTTTAGATATAGAATTATTTATATGAGGGAATCCATTAAGTTCAGCATAATCATATCCGAGCATAGGATGGTGACGTAGAGCATCTTGTCTGAGGCATTCCTCTGAGCAGTAAAGTGAATCCTACAAGATACATTAGTATCTAGCAGAGTAAAAACTCGACATTATACTTACAGAGTAAGGACTGATAGCATTATCGCAAAAGGTACACCAATTAGTATCGCACATCATCTTTAATGGTTTTTGTTTTATAAATTCATATCAGATAAAAACGACCTAAAATTAAGCTGGCCTTTTTATACATTTTTCGGAGTGTAAAGAGGTTGATAGGGAAGCCGATCTAAGTTACTTTTTTGTCAACCCCAGCTTTTGTACAAATCAATATGTGTCACTCTAGGTTTCCAGACCAACGCATCAACAATTCAGGAGTCGAATGAGTAAAAATTGATTGGCTATTGTGTTGCTAGGTTATTTTTGCGTCATTTATTCTAATACCCGATCAAACTGGCATAATCCCCTCTGCCTCTCTCTCTCTCTCTCTCAAACTCTCACCCTTTTCTTATCTCCCCTTTTATACATTTACATACATATATTGCATCATTTTAAAGTTTTGCTGTTTAAAGTGGTAAATACTTTAAAAGGGAATATTTTAACTAAAGAAAAATTAAAAAGGATGGCAAGATGTCATTACGTAGCAGCCAAGAGGATGACGAAAGGTATACTTTTTTTTTCTCCTAGCTGAAGTTGTTCGGAGTTACCTAATCAGTGCGGTTGTATAAGGTGTTTTGATACATGCGTGGAAAGGGAAAACTTGTTTGGCTAATAATAAAGTGTGCATACGCCCTTTGGCTGTTCCAGAATATAAGCATGCAAACATTCAAGGGCCATCTCACAGAAAAAAAATAAGACCGAAAAAAAAAAACTTTACAGTTTTTCCAGCCAATCATTTTCATCTCTTTAGGTTGGCTGGATCCTTCTTGAATTTTCGGGAGGTGTATACGTCGCTGTGTCGTCGTTGGTGGGTGATGGCTAGTACAATGTGCTATTGGTGCTCATGACAACAGACCCTATCTCTTTACTCTCTCTCTCTTTTACTCATCTTTTTCTCTTTCTGAGCACGTTCTGTTAAATTAAATGCATGTGTAGATGTGTGACAAGCTTCCTTAAAATAGGCGATAGAAAAAGGACTTGCTATCTGCTATGACCTGCTCCTGTCTTGATAGGGCCACGATCGAGTATGACAAGCAGCTAAAATCGCGGCAGAGACAAATGATAGGGAACAGAAGAAAAGCATATGCAAATAGATAAGATAAAGAAGGGGGAAAGAAGAAAGGAAAGAGACTGAAGACATGTTAAGCTTATCTCTCTTAAAGTGATAACCTTTTTTTTTTTTTCTTTATTTTGCTTTACTTTATTTTTTTTTCTCACGTCAAACATGAATGACTCAATTAAACAGGCTCAAGAGAAAAAAGTAATACTCAAACGCGTCCTCTCTTTCTTGAGATTTTGGAAGGGTGAGAAATTTTATGCTAAAATGGCGAGATAAATACTAGTATTATAGCCAATCATTTCTCTGTTTCCGCTGGGGACAATATTATTACAGCATCTCTGTGATGCAAATACCAAGCAAAAGTTTGCCTTTTACAAACATAGGCCCGTCTTATACAGCTCAGTTTTAAACAGTGCGTCTAACCACGTTAGAGTCTAGTTTATGAGCTGTTTAAGCAAATAAAGACAGAGAAAAGAACTTTCATAATCATGATGTAATCACTTTCATTTCATCTGTGTCTTTAAATACATTAACATATACGTGTGTGCGTGTGTGTAGCTTGGAGTACCTAGGCTGTAGTGCAAAACGTCATAATGAAACTATTAATAAAATAAAATGCATTGAGCCAATCAGATTGTTAATCATGCAGACACCTTAAACTGTATATAAACCAGACTTTCCTCTGTTCCTTTTTTTTCTCTTTACTCTATATTCAAAATGTTCTCTTCTCACTCTGCTCCTCGTGGTGTTCTTACTGTTAACTTGATTGAAGCCCGTAATCTTCACAAGGAAGATACTGCTGGCCACAATGACCCTTATGTCGAACTCTGGTTAGATGAAGACTACAAGCAACGTTCTGAAGTTGTCAAGAATACTGAAAACCCTGTTTGGAACCAAACCTTCACCTTCAACATTGATGAAGGCTCCTCCAAGCACAAGCTTTACTTCAAGGTCATCGATAAGGATGTCGTTGACTCTGACAAAATTGGTAGCACTCACTTGGACTTGACTGACATCTTCAAGGGTACTCCTACTGACACTTGGGTCAACCTTCCTGCCAAGTTGGGTCTCTCTAGCCATGGTGAACTCCATGTCACTGTCCAATTCACTCCTCAATAAGTTGTATACCTTTTTTTCTCTCTTTCTGTGTGAATAGCTATTGTATGTGTATACCTTTCAAAAAAAAAAAAATCCGCATAATGAATAAAAAAAACGACGCGTTTCTGCATTGTTTTTTGTGTATTAAAAAAATAGTTTATTTTAAAGGGACTTTTGTATTATTATTATGAATAGGTACTGCACTTCCATCTGGCATGCATTTATACTCTTGGTCGCGCCAGGATATTCGAGTCCCAGCCATGGCATAAAGGTAAAGAGGAAGCGCCAGTATTTCTCGTGATAGCCATGCTCGTAGAAACCGAGGTATAGCAAGACGTTCGTTCGCGACTGCATGCTCGACAAGTGTAACATAAAGTACATAATCGTTTATAAACCAGAGCAGCCAGTGAATTCCAAAGAATGTGACAATAGAAGTGCCAAAGAGAGCACGGGAACTAAAGGCGCCGAGGAGACCACAGAGAATAGATTCCGTGATCGGTTCAACCAAGGTAGCTGCGGTCACAATATATTTTCGAAGACGTACCCATCGTGCTCGGCGACGAGAGTATCCCTTGAGTGAAAGTTCCCCAAGAGCTTGGCAAGCAGCGTCTGCACTCATGCTGTGTCGTAAGCCTTGGTGCCACAAGGCTTCTCCAATGACGTTATCCTCAGCCATGTATTTGCCAAACTTGACTAACCCTCCTGCCTTCTCAAGATCTGAGCGTCTGTACAAGTTTGATTTACCCATAACGCATGATGCAATACCTACGCCGTTGATAGCCAGATACATCTTGGCATGGTTCGTGTCTAGAAAGAGATGTTCAATCTCGGCCGCGTAATTCTTGGGTTGCACAGCCAATGGTAAATGATGAACAAGGCCAATGCCAGGACGGGATAGTTCATCCACAGAGCGTCCAAGTGTGTCTTTATCAACATAGACATTTGAATCAAGAATCCAGAGAATATCATACTTTGCCTCTTCGTACGATCGAACCATATTATTGATTTTAGGATTAATACCTACTTGACGATCACCTGTGTGTATATATAGGTGTGTGTGGGAGCATATAGAATCAGTGATTGGCCCCCTTGTCTTGCTTTTTATTTCAATTACCTACGATCAATCGACAATCTACAGAGGGATATTCACACATCAATTGATGAACAACTGATATCGCTGGGTCATGTGGAGATGCAACTGAAAATAATAGCTCGAATTTAGGGTAGTTTTGGGTAAAGGATGATCGTAGGTTAGTCTCTAAATCTAAATCGATGCCTTTCAACGGTCGAATGATTGTTACGCCCTGAGCTTCGTCGTGGCTCAGCTTGGATGAGACAGGTCGAGGTTTATGTCGATATCTTGATTGGCTATAATAATGTATGACAGTTTCTTGGTCAGCAGTAAACTTTTTTTTATATTATATAACTTACGTAATATATTGTCCATATAAACTAAGGATAACAATAAAGGAGTACCAAGCGAAAAGTACATGATGAAGTATGGTAACTAAAAGTGACATTGCCGAATTAGTCTATTGTAATCTATTATTTGACATTCAAGGAGAGAAAGACAGACAGAGTGGAAAAAAAGGGGGGTGAAGCGGAAAAAAAGAAATTTAATTAATTTTTTTCACTCATCTCTATTCAAATGGCTCATTTCGAAAATATACAAACTAAAGAAACATATCCTCTGAAGCCAAATGAACCTGTCACTCTTGGTAGAAATAAATATGGCCTCAAAGGTCGTTATTGTAGTAGAGAACATGGTATATGGATATATTATGTTTAGTTTAGGGTTAGTATTTATATGGCAAACAAGTCAAAGTATCACTATTAGAAAATGGAAGATGCTTTTTGGAGAAAGTATGCGCAATGTATTATATTGACACATAGCCACTACAAACAGAGCTTATTTCAAATTAGTTGACAGATCATGCAACTCTATTGAATTCAGTACATTTACCACTAAAAAGAGAAGTAGAGGCATTTGATGGAGATACGATAACAATAGGAGTAAAGAAAGACAGAAAGCCAAAAAAATAAGGATTAACATTATAGTAGACAGAACAAAAAATAATACTTAGATTGCCAAATTCAAAAGAACCAGTGTATCATATTACTGTATGTGAAGATGAACCATTAAATGCAAAGGAAGAAGTAAGGGACAAATTAGAAAATAGTGAAGATAGTGAAACAGAGGAAGAAAAAAGTGAAGCAGAAAGTGAAAGTGAGATATCAGACGAATCTAGTTTATTGGGAGATTATGAATAAAGCTTCTTTTTATTTATTTTGAAATGAATTCATTCACATCCTTTAGCCAGCGTACATATTCTTTTTGTTCTTTGTAATCTATGTAGTCTGGTAAGAACGTAGCCAACGCGGCATTGACACCACGCTCTTCTAAGAATCCTGTAAATGTTGCTTGAAGACCCTGAGAGAGCTCTTCAAAAAGTGGACCCATATAGAGATCCTGTCTCTGTTCCCCAATGTCATGTCGAAAGATATCGTGATGGTCAATCTCACCTTTTCTAAAATATCGAATGCCTTGAATATGGAAATAACCATCCTGAGCGATCGTACTGAGGACAAGGCTACCCTTGTCTTCTTTTTCTACCATCACAGTTGTTCTTACCGGAAATGATTCGTCTTCTGGCTTTTTTAGTTCTACATATTCATCTTCTTCTGGTATTGCTTCTCCCTTTTCTTCTTCTACGATCTTATTGATATCAGAAATTGAAAATATCACGCTTACTCTACATATACAACATAAGAAAATCACTCTCTTTTGGTTTTTCTATTTACTTTTCGTTTCCAAACGAACGCTTCAGAGTTACTTTGTCACTACCCTCTTTATCTTCAATCTAAACAAACACTTAACAAGGACACCTCTTTTTACTGTATTGCCTTACCTGAAATATGTTGGCATCTAAGAATTCCTTGACAAAAGCAGGGGGTTCATTCTTGTCGCTTTCCTCAAACTGTATCTCTTCTTGTAACTGATGAGCAAGATCGGAATCAACTGCTTTGTTATTAGTTTGTAGGTTGATCAAGATCGTGTCTACCTTCACCACTGCTTAATCTCGGTATGGATAAAGTCAAGGTCCTGAGTGGATTAAGCTGATATCTTACAGTAGGTGCCCTTGTTACTCTGCTAACTACAGGAAATAAACCCTTGATGAAGGTAACCATAAGAGAAAAAAAAAGAGGTGATCAAAAAATTGGAGAAGGGTTGGCATAGTGATACACTGTTTCCTTATTTGTTTTTTATTGTCAGAAATAAAAAGGGTATATTATTGTATGATGATTACATACGAAGATGCTTTTTAGATGATTTCGTATTGACTTCATCAGAAGAAGAAAAAGTCAGCAAGAATGTCTTGGGCAACAAGTTGGTCATTCGTTTCATTGCCCAAAATGTAAGATTTAGAGGAAAGAACATGCAGGTCATGATGAATCGTCTTGGTCTTTGTTCAAGTGTATAGCAAATGTACTGATCAATGTCTTGTACTTTTTTATCAATGGCCATAATCTTTTCCTCTGACCATAGACGAAACTCTAAATCTCTCTTTTCAATGCGTTTCATAGCTTTTGCTAATTGTTGGATATTTGGTGCAATACCATTTGTTACCTAAATTCTACATGTAAATAAACAAAAACACACATCAATACACACACTTTACTTGTCCTAAATCCTTTTTGGTAGCAAACGCTCTTCTTAGATCATACAGCTCCTCTTCCATGATATCCAATTTCTTTTGTAGTCTGTCCAGTTCGCTTTCATTGATTGACACCTCATTCTGTAAGAACAACGTCCGCTCTCTCAATAGCGCCATAACATGGACCAGTGGTTTCACACTGGCGGCTAAGACAAAAACGGTAATATTAAATGAACTCATGTACTTGTCATGATTGTTAAGGAAGCGTCGACTGTAATAGAGTGTGTAGCCTGCCATCAGTGGTGACAGAATAACCCAAGCAAGTCCCATGAGCTCATGCTTTCGGAGCTCTTGTTCCAACTCGGTTTTGTTCGCTTGGCTTATTCGGCGAGATCTTGCACTTTCATAGTACGTCCATGGCACTGTAAACACATGAGCTTATCTTGTTTATCTCTCTCTTTTTATATAGTTTTACCTGTAATCCATTTATAGACATAATACAATATTAAAAGTATCAAAATAAAGTCACCCCAGTCTTCGGCATTTCCTACGACAAATGCACCAAGAGTTGGAATAACTGCTAATAGAATAGGCCATGAAATAGAATTCAATGAAACTTGGATTTCAGATCTATCTGGCCGAGAATTCTTTTCTTGTAAAGGCATGTTTTAAAGAGTTTTTTTTTTAAAAAGAAAAGAAAAGAAAAGAAAAGAAGAGGAAGAGAAAAATGCGAAACCAAAACATACGCGGTTTTGTTGATCTCTCTTTCTCTTTCTCTTATGCAAATCGGTCCTACAAATCACAAGACCCACCCTTTTCTGTTTTGTGACGCGATAAGCCACTGTTTTATATTTCTTTGTTTCCCTCTTTTTTGTCTGGCTTTTTCCTTATAAAATGCCTGCACCCCTTATTTCACCTGCTGAGAAGTCATATATTGAAGAAGGCATTCAACAAGATTGTCGTGCAGATGGTCGAGCTAGACTCGAATATCGTCACATGATTCTAGAAACAGGACTTTTATCACAAGCAAGCGGAAGTGCACGATGTCGTTTAGGAGATAGTGACGTGCTTGTAGGTGTCAAGGTGGAAATTGGTGAAATTGAACAGAATCAACCTAATCAAGGGCGTATTGTTTGTAATGTGGAATGGTAAACAAAAAAACAGCTGCTATTTAGAAATAATAAATTAAACATTTTAACAGCTCACCAAGTGCATCTCAACAGTTTGAAGGACGTGGAGCAGATGAAATCAATAACTCATTGACAATGGCTGTTGACAGGCTATTTAACGGACCACAAAGTGGACTTGACCTTGAGAAATTATGTATCATACCAGGACAACAATGTTGGATTATATATATTGATGCTATGGTAACCTCCCCCTTTTTTTTTGTCAAAAGTATAGAATACTGACAAGTATTTTCTAAAAGGTCATGGATGCCGCAGGCAATTTATTAGACTGCATCGTCATGACAGCGCGTGCTGCATTATATAACACACGTATTCCTAAAACCGAAATTCAAGACTTGGGTGAAGGCGAATATGAATTTGAAGTCATGGATGACGTGGAAGATGCAGAGCCTATTGTCGGTTGGGAGAATTTGCCAATCACAGTGACTTTATACAAGATTGCAGATAGATATATTATTGACCCCACGATTCTTGAAGAACTGTGTTCTCAAGTAACGTTAACAGTGGGCGTTAATCGAAACGGATCTGTTTGCAGCATACAGAAAGGAGGAAATGGCAGCATTGAACCGAGCCTATTAACAGAAATGATACAGGTAAAATATAGGACATAGAATGTATGTATATGATTGATATTCATCTGCTCTTAGACTGCAACTACTTTAGCAAAGCCTATGCTGCAACAATTGGATGCTAAATTAATAGAAGAAGAAGATCAGGTTCAAGAAAAGAGAAGAAATGGACTGCCAGTTGAAAAGCTTGGATTCTTTGCTTCTGTCATTTAAACACATGTGTATATAGTTTTAATAAATTACTTCAATCAAAGCTTTTGAGCAGCAACTGCGTTAAAGTTATAGAATCCGCATTTAGTAAGCATGCACTTGTGAAAGTCTTTCACAAATTTTTGCTGTTCTACCTCATCGGTTACTCCCATGGCGGGTCCAAGCACCGACATGGCTCCTCGAGCTCCTTCTGACCAGCTCCAGGCTAACTTTTTGGCAGCTATTGTGCCTGTGGCTATTTTGGTTGCATTAGTTACACTGCAGAACGATTATGACACACACTTACTTGTATCTGTCGGAATATACACTGATTCTAATATTTTAGTATTACCAGCTTCTCTCAGCATTCTTTCCAGCTCTCTGCCAACAGAAGGGATTTGCCCTCTTTGCTGACATATAATATGCACTATAAAGACAGTGAGTATACGCCAAAACGGATGACCATACACAACTTACAGGCCTTATTTGCTTTATAAAATAAGTTGTCCGTTTCTTTTGGTAGCTAGCAAAGTTGATTAAGCTATGGTAAGTCAATATAACACATCATTTACATCCAAATTAGGTTCAAGAACCTGGACGATTCCTCCGGACTTAGTAACACGTAAGATTTCCTTGATAGCTTTCGGCCATTCATCGCTTCGTAAAGCAAGGACGAATAACCTCATGTGCACAAAATCAAATGTATTGTCAGCATAGGGTAACCCCTCAACTACATTTCCCGTACAAAACCTAAGTTGCTCAGGCATAGTCTTTCTGTTGATAACGTCCACCATGTCACAACCTTGGTATCTGCAGTTAGGATAGTCATCCATCATATCCTTTTGGTAGGAAGTTAATTAGCCAGTTCAAACTATTACTCTTACTGTATTTACTATAATCCATGCGCCTGGACCACATCCTACATCCAGAATGTCTATTCCTCTATCGAAATCTAACATTTCTATAACGCTGGACAATACATTCCTATAGAAAGACAATTTTAATTTTACAAAGAGTAATGAATAATAGTTCATCTTACGTTTTGAACACTTCTTTAAGCGCATAATGTTGCTAAATGAATGAATTAGAATATCCCTTACATCATTGGTATATCACCTTACTGCAGAAAGCCTCATCTGTTCGCTATCATCCTTGGGTAGCCAATAAGTTGAGGTCTGAACATCATGAAACTCTCGTTTTGTAGTAGGTATAGTGATATTTTTTGTGCTGTCATCCATGGAAGCTTGGTCTGTTTCTGCCATCGTTGCCTTGTCAAATACTTCTTGCTGTTGCTCGCTATAATTTTTAAAGGTCAACTTAATACGACACTTTGTAAAACGGTTTCCCATTGTTTAAGTAAAAAAAAAGAATACCTTTTTATAATGTAAAACCAAGAAGAGGGGGAACTAGAAGCATCTTTTCTTCTTATTTTCGCAAGTGTAACTTGACTGATCTGTTTCTCTGCAACCCAAACCTTACACATGTACTCGTGTGTTCTATATAAATGTAAACCTGTGGAATTTGCTGATACAGTTCAGGGTAATAGGACGGATGTAAATCAATAAGTAGCCGCAGTTACCACTTTATGACTAGTCACATGTTTATACGACAAGCTATTTGACATGACTTACAGCCTTAAGGATAATAGGGATACACATATGCTTCTTACGGATATACTTTAAGCATCACCAGATCCTAGAAGCAAATGTCCGATTAGAAAAAAGGATTACTATTTTATAAGCTGTCTTTACTTTTTTGAGCAATAACACGCATGGTTATTATCGTTGACGAGACACTGCCTAGCTTCATCTTTTGATCCCAATATTATTGCCCGTAGTGACGTTACTCCTTTGACACTTTGGTCCCAACTCCATGCTATTAACTTGTCAGTATTTGGTACTTAATAACTGTCATGTGATTTTTTTAAAAATACATAAAACAACCTCACTTGCGTCAATATAAGCGTACCTAAGGAATATAATTATCTATATAACGGTAACAGCCGTAGTTGCCCTCCATAAAGTTTATTACAAGCAAAATGATCCTACATTTACACCAGAGAGCATTGATTCGGAGCCCATTATACCATTGGTGTCTTGCTCTTTCTTACCGTTAATCCCGATCGTTCATCGTCATCCTTGGGTAGCAAGTAGATCAAAGTTTTTAACCTGATAAAGCTATCTTTATTTTGGTAATACTATCTTGTTAACATTCGTGCTTCAAAATGCAATATGTGCTCTCAATGAAACTATATAAGAAACTTAAAGAGCATCATATACAATTTGTTTTCATAAATATATCTTTTTTACAATGTGCACAAGTTTCCAAGTTTGAGAAGCCTAGATTGCTGTTCCTTGAAATATAGGTATGTCATACTTTGATTCTAATGGTGAGAAAGAACACTACTATGCGTGAAATGGAGAAAAGATCATAAGCTACCTAACCACGCTTCAGTTTTGTGACCATGATGCTTTTTTTGAAACGTACATGAAATACGCATACAATGTATACATAAATGTTACCACTACTCACTTCATGCTATACAGTCTTTCCGGAAAGTAAATTCGCCTGTGATCGAAAATAGATGCACTCAATGGCGAGAACAAAATTCATGTACGAAATGTAAATTCGTCGTCACCAAGAATATTTTCGTAGTACCAGTCTTGACGTCCATGGATATACTGTATTTCCAAATTTAGATGTCGTATTGAAACCGTTGTAATGTTATCAGAGTAATAACAAATACAAAAAGAACATGGCTCACTATTCCATTTGACAGTAATATTAACAGGTGGTCTGTCTTGGAGCTGAAACTAACCTAATATTAGAAATCGCCCTCTTTAGTCTCCTTGTAAAAGTTTAAATTCTTTATTCGGTTTTTCCATAAAATCAGAAGAACATGTAGTCATATTTGGCAATATATATTCTCGAATGGTCACGAAGCAGATTGCTTCTATTTGACATGATTTCTTTTTCCTAAGCATCCAGTCCTGAAATCTGTTTGAAAGAAAAACATATAAAAACCCATTTTAATTGAGTCCTTTTTTTGCTTCTTTACAGCAGTTATCAAGTGTCCCTCTGAGTGTTCAAAGATCCACCAATCAAAATTAGCCTGTCCTCATAGTCCTTGCTCTGACTCGCTTTTTTTATTTTACGACAATATTTTATAAAATTAACGTCAATAATTAATAAAAATACAGTATACTGCTGTGAAAAAAAAAAGGCGACATATGCTTCACTATGAAAAAAGCACACAAACTGTGAGAAAGAAACACTCTTGCAAACGAAGAAAATATCATCAAAATATTAAATGCTTTTATTTGAAATGAGCATATATAGTAAAAGCCTCAGACAATAAAGAGTAGCTTGGATATAAAGCATGTCAATTTCGCCTTTTCCACCAAACGAGGTTATCATTATAGGATCTTCACTTAACTTTAGATTACATCCACTATCTTTGGATGTAGGCGTGATAGGTGATGGCTCTCTTCCCACCTATTCACGTATATTGCAGCATCTGTAAATAATACTTTTACTGGGAAAGTGTCTATAGGGATCTGATGTCGACTATGAACTTCCACTGTGACTTTATTGATTGCCTATTGATGATCACAAACTTGTAAAATGCTCTTTGTAATAGCTCCAACATAACAATAAAGCCTACTTGGCTTTACTAGCAGCACATCATAAGGATCAGGCGAATAAACAAAGGAACCGCCTTTTATGTATTATCCAATAGGAAGGCAGAAAAGAGGTACGTTGCGTAGCAACAAAAAATTCATGCAATTCATTCCAACTCAGGGCCGCCTATTTTGTCTTTTCAAGGTCACAGATGTAAACAGACAAAAAAGTATAAAAGACGGCCATTTTTCGCTTTTTTTTTCTTTCAGGCTTTCCCGGTTTGCCCCAATTCTGATAGTAACCTTTGTGATGCTAGAAGAAGTAGGTAGCCTTTCTCTCAGAAGGGAGGGATTAGCTCATCACAATTTTTATAAAGTTACTTCAGTGACTCTTTTTTTTTTGATAACGCTGCCCCTTGCGATTGTGGCTACAGTGCAATAGGGTGAGCTATAAACTAATGTAAACGAAAAAAAAAAAGAATCTTAGCAGCTGTTAGTAATTAAGTTTATTGATTGGTTGCTATTGTTTATTCATGTCACAGTTGATATCGCGCAATGTAAAAAGATGATATTGCAAGCGTATAAACAAGAGGGATTTACAGATGATTTATTAAATTGTTCCTTTAAAATAAATAAGTTGCAAAATAGCAGAAAGACAAGTGGACTGAACCATAACAATCGATTATATTACATTTTCTGAGCAGCAACCGCGCATATCTTAAGATCCCCGTACGTATTAGATAGGCACTTCTTAAACTCTTTGATAAAAGATTGCTTCTCATGATCGCCCTTAAGCCCTAGCATAGGTCCAAGCATGGTCATCCCACCCTTTACAAATTCAACCAAGGTCCAAGCCAGCGATTTAGCTGCATTGGTGCCTGTTGCTATATTTCACTTAGTAACTATTATATTTTGCTCTTCATTGCGTCCTACTTGTATCAAAGGGAAGGGCTCTTGATTCAGTTACTTTAGCATTGCCTAATTTTGCCAGCAATTCCTCTAGTTCTCTGCCAACAAATGGATTCTGTCCTCTTTCCTTACAAATCGCATGTACTATCAAAATAAATCAGACCATAATTTTACAGCAAGCGTCAAACTTACATGCAACCATTACTCTGTAAAGAGGAGTACCTGTGTGCTTTGGTATCTATTTATGTGACGCGGGTTAAAATATGGTAGAGTGATCGCTTCATTCACAACTCACTGGGTTATCAGTCTCCATAAGCTGTACAAAGCCTCCAGGCTTAGTGACACGAAGTAGCTCTTTAACTGCGATGGGCCACTCCTCCTTTTTCAGAGCATAGATAAACAGTCGCATATGTACAAAATCAAATGAGTTATCTGGATATGGAAGCCCTTCTAGTACGTTAGCCATAGTAAAGGTAAACTGTTTGGGCGTAACATTTATGTCAATAACGTTTACTATGTCACATCCCTCATAAGTACAGTTTGGATAATCGTCTATCATATCCTTCAATTTTGTTAGTGATCTTCCCAAAAAATAAAGTTTTCACTTATTGCCCTACCATAACCCATGCACCTGGCCCACAGCCAACATCAAGTACAGATACCCCACCGTTGAAGTCTAGGGCTTTGGTTATGTGCGGTAATACATTTCTATAATATGAAAAGTCTATTACAAGGATTCTATATATGCCAAGCGTAATAATAACCTTACCCTTCAAAAATTTCCTTTAGAGCAAAATGTTGCTATAATTAAGCTTGATTGAGTAAAAAAAGATAATAGAGCACTGGTATTGTCTTCTTACCCCCGTTAATCTCATCCGCTCATCGTCGTCTTTGGGCAGCCAATAGGACGAAGTTTTGACATGATGAAACTCTCTTTCTTTTGGCAAGGTTATTTTGTCAGTGTCTGTGCTGCACTCACTAGTGTAGGATGATGCTTGATCTGCTTTTGCCATGTTGTGGCCCGTTATGTATGTTTGTGTACTCTTCTCTTGCTTTGAACCCATATTAGTGTCTCTCTTTGATAGGCATCCACCCATATATAAAGTATAATAAAAATTTTATGTCTCTATCTGCTTTCTTATTTAAAGCGAAACAAGAGGGAAGGACAAGCATCTTCTGGTGTTTTCTTATGATATTATGTGTAACATTTATACAAGCATCTTCTGAAAGATTCTATTGACCAATACAAAGAAAGAAAGATAGAAAGAAGAATAGAGCTCAAGGAGTAAAATATTCAACTTTACGATAGCTGGGATGTGTTTTTTATATGGAACTATCGAGTAGAATCACTTTCTAAACGCGCTGCTACTTTGGCAAAAGGCGTTACTCAATACACAAACACGAGTACCATAAGTTCTAAGAAGACTGTATCCTTCTTTATGAAAGGTTAAACAGATGCGAGAAATCACTCATGCGCACGAGTCAAATAAGAATAAGCGGAAATAAATGATGCCAATGACAACAATTTTTGCTTAATATATATTATTATATATACAGTCTATAATGGTTTTATTTAGTTCATTGCCTTCATAGCCAGCTCGTAGGCAAAGAAGGTAGCAGCATTAGCAGGAAAAGCTCTTGCCATGGTTGGGCCGACACCATTGAAAAATGCCTTATATCCTGCTTCTCTTACCAGTGCACGGAATGCGGCAGCCGAGGATTTGATTCTGTTACAGATTTGTAAGCAGTTTGTAAAAGCGTGTGTGTATCTCCTTTTCTTACCTAGGATCATTTTGCATTCGACTCTTGATGACGTCTTGAGGATATGCGGGAATCCAAGCACCAAATCCAGATAAACCACCAGCCATCAACAGATCAAAAGTAGATAGAGTCTGATCAGGACCCTTCATGTACTGGAAGGTGCGTTTCAATCCTTCGTATGTGACTATAGGGCATGTATGTTAAATAACTGTCGTATGTTGTTCTTTTGAACTTACTAAAGTATAAACCGTAGCTTGGACAATCTCTTAGCAATGTAATTCCTATTCCTCTGTAGATACCTAATGGTCCTTGAGCACGCACAGTACGAATACCACAATCAATAACACCTTTATACTAAAGTGTATCCAGTTAGTATAAAGACATGTATTAACAGCAAAACTTACAGGAGGCTCAAGTTTTCCATTAGCACCAATGATACCAGCAGGATCCTGTGTCTGAAGTTTGACCTTTAATAGCTCAATAGGACAGTTGAAAAAGGCCATGACTGTTCCTGCCATAGAGCCTGCTATACCGATCTCAGCCAAAGACAGCACTTTATTTGCGTCTCCTCCTTGAAGCATTCTTCTAAACTCGCCGTTGCACATGAAAACAACTGCGTTACATAAACCAATACCAGCAAGTGGAGAGGCAACACCACGATATAAGCCTTTGGGCTACAAAATAATTGAGTATATCAGTCATGAACAAAAAAAATCATCATAGCCTTACACCTTCAGATTGAACTAATTGTCGGAAACAGTCTACAGCATTTTTATAAATAGGGGGAGAAGGCTGTGTCTGTAACCTGACTTTAAGGGTATCAAAAGGATGGCCTATGCATATATTTAATATAAAAAAGGGGGTCCAAATTTAAATAGATATTTACCAACAATAACCTGTGCCCAACCGCCACAAGTTCCAGCAATCAAGTCTTGAGCTAATTTAGGTATTTGCAATCGGACACTTTCTTCCTTGTATGTAGCCATTATTTTTAAAGGAAGAAAAAAAAATGGGAAAAAAGGGGTAACAGTCCAAAGAATAGTTAAAACTTTTCAGCCAATCAAATGATTTCTCCAGTTGCTCAGTAACAGATCATAAAGAGATGTTTGTAAGGAAAAAAAAAAAAAGGTTTATAAAATATAATAATAAAATAAACAAATATATAAATTTCACAGATTTTTGTAATCGTTTCTATATGGCAGCTTGTATTCTTTTTTTTTTGGATTGTTTTTGATCTACAATATTTTCCTTTTTTTGTTGTTTTTTGGTCGTTTTTATCAAAAAAAAAAGTTAGGTGTGATTAGAAGAGGGACCACTGACACTTCCTCTAGGTTTCTACATAAACATGTTAATATCATTCCTAGCTTTCATTTTATATTACTTACGCCGTGATGAGGAACCTTGTAAGTATCATCTGGCACTTGTTTTGATACTTTAGAATTTCTAAAATCTTCAATCGTCTTGTACTTGTTCAATAATTCTGTCATGCGTTCATTGAACTTGAGCTTTCTCTTGTTCTTATCTTTACGATAATAGTTGTATGCCCAGAACTTTTCAAGACCATAAAGATGACCACGATCATAGTCAGCCAAAGTCAATTCTTGGAAGTCTTGGAACAATTCTTTACGATAAGTCTTTTCAAGACCATAAGAATAGAATCGGAAGAGACATTCCAAACCATATCTATCTCACACATTAGTAACAAAGATCAATACATCATCTGTCTCTTTTTTTTACCTGTAGTTTTGATTAGCATCTTCAACTGCCAATCTCTTAAACTCATTATACATGCGCTTGTTAAAGTGATCACGTAAGAAATGAGACCAGAAACGGAACAAGGTGTTCATTTCCTGTGAATGGCCAACACCCAACTTCTTACGTTCTCTTAATGCTTTGGCATGATATTTATGGTATTTGTGTTGAACAAAGCCATTTTCACGCAAGAGTTCATGGCTAGGATGTTGGAAGGCGCCAAAGGAGTGTGCCATATCAACAGAAGTAGAAAGTAAACCTTCAGCAGGTGACTTGCCATAGCTTGTGGATAAGAAGTCATTGGGATTGTAGTGATAAGGTTGATCAGACAAGACCCAACCGACATGAGCGTGATCATGATTGGCACCTTTGCGTGTAGGCGTTGTGCCAAAGAAGGCTGAGCTAGGGAGTGACTCAGGACGAACAGCATAGAATCGAGGAGCTTTGTCGTTCTTGATAGGCTTGGCGTGGATGGTTGTTGTTGAGATTTGAGCGCCAACTTGCTCACCGTTATGATGTACTTCACGAGACTTTAATTGATCAAATTGTTCCTTACCAACAGAGCCAACCTTGACATTACTTTGTGTATACGTGCGAAGGCCGCTCTCATACTGATAAAGGCCCTCATTGATCATTTCAGAGATATCTTCATTGATCTTTGCACGGTTATAGTTGGTATGTGTACGGTCTTGCTTGCGTTGTGTAACGATCATGATACGGGCAACCGTCTCATCATCCATTTCAAGATCATCTTCCTCCTCTTCTTCGTCTTCAGAGAGGTAGTATTTCTTTACCGTATCCTTACGGCTACCATCTGTCCAATCGTCATCTTCAAAATCAAACAAGTCCTCATCTTCCTTTGATGTGTCCTTGCTGACCGACTTGCGACGTTCGATGGGTGAGGACGAAGGAAGCAAGCTGGTGCCAGCCAAGGAAGCCAAAGTAGGTTGAGGATTGGAGGAGGTGTTTTGCTTGACGACCTCAGCGGCTGTAGGACCTGTCTTGAGAATAGGTGCAGGATTCACGGGCTGTGGTCCAGGGACAACAGCGGGCATGATCCAAGGCTCCCATCCTTCTCTCTTGCGAATCTTATCGCCTTTACGTTCGACGACTTGGCTGTTATCAAGTGCTTCACGAATCAAGTCAAGATCAGTCGTTAATCCCTTAACACGGTTGAAGTTGGCAACAAAGGACAAGTCGACAAAACCGTTTGAATCCATTTGCTTTCTTAAATAAAGATCCTTACAAAGGTTGTCAATGCTAAAGTAATACTCACTAAAAGAAGTTAGTATATGAATATAAAAAATGAATATTATTTTACATTTGCTGCATGATGTAAACTTTCAATGTTTCTGCATCGACTTGAACAAAGGCAGGTGTCTTGTGATAAGGCTTATGGTACAATGGCTTTCTCGATCGAGATTTGTTAGTTTGGTGGTGATGATGATGAGATTGTTGTTGTTGTGTTTGTGGTTGAGATGCTTTCTTTTCTTCATCTTTCTTTTTATCACTACCGACGGCAGTATTGCCCTTGGTTTCATTGACAACAGGGGCAGTAGAAGCGCTTTTTGTCTCTTTTGCCTGATCCTTTTGTTGCTTTGATCCACGACGGCCCTCAGATTTTTTACTATGACGGTCACCCGCAGCTGAGCGACGACGACCATGTTTGCGGCCTGATCGGGGTGCATGGACAATAGTAGGCGTAAATGGCTTCCATTGGCCTTTGCTCTTGACTTTGGGAGCAACTAATTTTTCCGACTCTTCGTTGGTATTGCTTGGTTCAGTTGTAGCGGCCTCTTTGGGTGCAGGCCAATCTAATGATGACAGTTGTTAGATTAACTTTCCTCCCGGGAGTTCTTTGTTATAATTTACCAGCAACAGCAGCTTCATTCTTTTCGGCTTCAGTCGGATTCTTGGTTACTTTCCAAGCACTCTTTTCAGGAATGGGTGCTGGCACAGTTTGTGGTTGTTCCTTCTTGACGGGTTGATCTTCTTTTTCAGGAGTAGTAGTAATAGTAGTATTAGCTGTGTTGGTCGTATTTGTGGGTTCGTTAATAGTCTTTTCCATGTTTAGATCTTTCTTTTTTCCCGTAAAATAAAAAAAAAAGAAAGAAAGAGTAAGATATCTTGGTTATAAAAGGAAAAAAGAGAGATCCTCTCTTGGTAATACAGATATGTCTTTACCCACCTCGTCAAAAAAAAAAATATTTAAAAATATGTGTGGCTTATTCAGTTTCAGAGTAATGTTCTTTATTTGGAAGAAACATGATTCTGTAAGTAATATATTACTCTATATAAATATGCATATTGTACATCACTCTTTTATAGTTTGATTTAACTGTCTCTTGTATCTTTATGTCTCTTTCTTTTCATCCATACCTATACTAATTGTAGGCGCAGATTCTTTCTGTGACGTAGCCTTTAATAAATTTCACTTTCCGATTCTGCCCCTCTTTCTGAACTTTAAATTCTTGCAGTGACTATTTATTCTTCGATGTTGTGGCCATTAATTCTCCTTTAACTCTCTTTAATTCTTTAGCTTTTTCTTCCACTTATTCTTCTTTTATTAAAGAATAATAATAATGTCTGAGAGCATAGCTTTAAAGAAATACACACCCTTTCCTAAAGAAATTACCGTTGATATTAACCCTTGAAAGAATATCATTGAAAATTCATCTGCCTATTATGCAGTATGTTGCATTTATAAGGACAGGACAAATGGTGATATGTCTACTTTAAACGAAAAAGGCTAACCTATGCCAAAGCGCGTAATAAGAAGAAGCATCATTTGGAAAATTAAGTACATATGCCATTGATCTGGGGCCTATAAGAGTCGTGCTGGTGTACAAACAGAAGATGAATCATCTAAAAGCCGGCCAATTCAGGAACCAAGCAAGAAGATCGACTGCAGATGCTACGTTGCTGTCACCTGCTATTTCGTAACACTTAATCAGATCACTATTAAGCTTCATAATGAGCATAATCATCTTATTGGGAGCCTTGATGATATCTCTTTTTTTGCCTTTATCGGATACTACGAAGGAGGCTATATTGCAAAAGTTACGTGCAGGCTACGGTGGAAGAGACATAAGGGCTGCAATTCAGCGCCATTTTAATGAAAGGATAAAAGACTTTTTTCCTGAAGCTGCTAATTCGTCACTCTCTTCAGTATATGTTGTACATCGTGATCAGTTTATTCAATCGGAAGATGTTTACAACATATATAAAAAGGTTCAAGGGCTATTGTATAAAAAGCACAACGAACAGAAAGAATCAAACAAGCTTTGGTTGAAAAATCTCCAGCAACAACGAGGTTACTTTACCTATATTGCTCAAGATTTCGAACAGAGCTATACATTCAACTTTGTTTCTCCATGGTAAAGACAGTAACTAGTTCGAGCTGAATCATTTTGCCTGAAATTCATGCATTGGTCTGCTGCTCACCAACCACAAGTTTTCACCAATATAGAAACGAACAACAATATTGAGAGTTGGCATAACCAGTTAAAGGTGAATTATTTACAAAGAAAAAGGAATAGAAGACTGGATCAATTAATATTTATCTTAGTTGATGATGCTCATACTGATTCTATGCACAATACCGCAAAGATGGCCACTAATATTGGACGTACTAGCTCAGAGACTAGAGAGGTAATAAAGAGAATTATTGCAGCAGAAGAGATCAATGAGCTGCCATTAGAAGATATGGCGCAGAAGGTACATATCGATGAAGAAGTTTGTTATATTGTCAAGTCTTTGTTAACAAATACATGACATGGCACTCCTTGAATCAAGCGTATATAACAAGCTTAAGAATATTTACTCTTGAGTATATGTTTTTAGAAACGTTTTATAGGAAATTGCTACTGTACCTACTTTACGTACTCTTTTTATATACAAACTACTTGCAATTTGATTCAGAATAAACTATACTGCTTTTAATTAACCTTATTCTTTTGAACAAAGAAATTGTCAATAGTACAAAAGTTTGCTGCATCATTATAAAGTATAGTAAGCTTCTTAAAAAGAAAAAAGAATATAATAAGGAGAAGAATATTTGTTAAAAAAAAAAGTCAAAATGAATTACTTTATTCTTTTCTTTTTATTTCATTCAACAAGTAATTCAATAATAGTGGTTAGCAGCGACAAATCACCAGAAAATGCAAATTAAACATGCTATTAAATCAACCCATAAACAATATCGAGTAAGTATCAACATTTTCTTTATATTTCATAAAAGTATGTAACAATCTTTTCGTGATAGCAAGAGGCCCGTAAAATTGCAGAAGAGTATTCTATTCTAGGACGGGATGCCACGAATTTAGCGTTGTACTGCGTATGTTTCTGGGTAGAAAATGGGTTTCAAGAGGATACAGCATATCCAGATGGAACACCGTGGCATATCGGAGCTATAGCAACAAAAATTAGCCAATATCGCTTCATAAAAAGCGTTGACTTTAAAAATACAAGAATATTATTGGCCAAATTTCACGATTCAATTTTTGATGCGCCATAGTGTAATGTCAGAGAAATTTTGGAGCTATCGTTATCGCGCCGTCGCCCGTGGTGAAGGACATATCTCCCGTTCTGTAACGTTTAATCTATAGACTTTTCGTTGTAATATTATTTATAGAATTGACTGAATGTGCATTTTTTATAGAACTTCATTGAATGTATAAGAAACTGTTTTGATATTTTTGACATCTGTCGAAAAAATCCAAACAATGGTAATATATGGAACGCGCTTAATTTGTATTCACATTCACTCATTATGCTCCATAGGCCAATATCTATATGATATATCTGTACTCGATGCACTCCATGGTTATCTAGCAAGCTCATATACTACAAGTGTTGTTACAAGTAAGCCTGAATAAACATTTAAATTGCGTACAACTCATGAATATTATATCATAAAGATGTCGGGCTGCATTTGGCTAGAAATGTTAGAAGAAACACCTTTGTAGTTTTCAAGGGATTTTTCTTGGGATATCAAACACAAATTCGATCATCTATAAGTGTGTCTAATATTGGTAAATAAGCCAGAAAGTGCAAATATTCTTCAATCAACGATAGCTTACCGTAATTTTTTATTTTTAGCAAAGCTCGCAATAAATAGTATTATAAACAGAACACCAACCTTTGAATGCTCGATGCCTCCTCTTCCTGTTGCCCATGAATTATACGAGTATATATTTCAGATTAAAAGCTTATACAGAAGAGGCATTACGCTAAGTTACTTCCTTACTTTTAGGATAGTTTATAATATATTTTATGGTGCATTTCGGGATCTTCCATTTGAAGTAATTTCCTCGTTTGAATTTGCCTTCGAAAATGCATCCAAGCTTTTATGCTTCAGTGCCACACTTTTAAGGGAAGCTACTAATTTTCGTGGATTACGATTTGAATTTCGAACTTGGAGTTTGCTACCTATAGCAAAAGCACGGAATGGGTAAATGGTTGATATCAATTTTTATCTTATATTAAAGCTTATGTTTCTCTATCTGGTCACATTGCTATGTATTATTGTTTAGGTGATATAAAGAGGCAGGATATCCTGTCCCCGCAAATTTTTTAGTGCAGCATAACATCACAATATCACGAATAAAAATCCACTTCACTAGTATTACTTGGATCTAATGCCAATAACAACATTCAGTGACAACTATCACGAGGAGAGCAAAGAGGTACTATGGGAACATGTATTTAATATCGACCATCTTCAGAAAAACAGACAAAGAAAACAAAACTGTAAGATTGCCTATTGTTAGCTTTTGATATTGTAGATATTCATGGCATATTGTAATGTTTAGCTTTAAATACGAACAATGAAAAAAACAAGATCGCACTGGATTACGGTATTTCATCTGATGGACACATGGTGCCTGCTCTATTCTCGGTGAAAACTATTGGTAAGTCAAATATTTGAAGCGCTCTACTGTGTATGTGCTAATAATTTTATATTGCAATGATTTTATGCAATAATAGAAAGACTTTCAGAAACTAAGATTGATGAGCAACATGCACCAAATTCTGTTGATATCAGTCGTTAGAAAAAAGGTACCTATTCGCTAAACAAAGAACCGTTACCTTTAAAAACGACGACCTGCTTATTGGGGTCGATTCAGGTACTTACATACAAACCAGAAAATATGAGTCAAAAGAAAAACTCATTACACAGCGCCTTTATGTAGGTTTCCTTGATTTGGTCACAGCTGCTGACGTATCTCATGAACATATAATCAATAAGCAGACAGCTAAAGCTCATACTTTTTTCAATAGCGAACGGCAATTACTTAATTTTATAGTTCGTCCACTTTCAAATCGTACACTTTTTGAAATTAATACAGTGGCTCCATTCCCAACCTTCACTTTCCAATGAACTAAATTCGCATTGGTTTCCGACCAAAATTCTTTTGTTAAAACATCATGGCGCATCGAAGCTATAACGACAACAATCAGCCAATAAAGTGCCATTTTAAATATTTCACTTATTGACTTTATTAAATACTCCACAAACAAAAGGGAAGTGAAGTTGAGACGTAGTTTACGTTTGACATTAAGAAACTGACATGCTACTACAGTCTGCAAATCGTTATACTCTGACTCCACAGCTTATTACAAGCGTTGTTCGCCTGTAAAAAAATGGGGCTCTCCTTCGGAATTGCTGATCCCATTTTTTTTTTTGTTCCTTTGTTCCTTTCTTTCAAAAAAGGTGAACACTACATGTACCAGAAAAGGCTAAATAACGTAAGTACGAATTTATCATAAGCGGTCTTTTTTGATCGAACTGACAGCATAAAATTAGAATAAATAACAACATTTCTTTTTATCTCTTCTTGAAAAGTAACAAAACAAGTCGGCAACTTTGTAAAGTCATGTTTAGTGGGCGTCATACATCCAAAAGCTTTTTTGTGTGATATCATAGGTAATAGGTAGAAGTAGCGCCCGTAGAATTAGTCTAATTTCTGGTGTATTTTCTGGTGCATGTAGTGTTTCCCTTCAAAAAAAATAAAATAAAATAAAGGTATTCAACGTTGCCACTATGATTCTAAGAAAAAGAAAAAAACAATCGCATGCTGTCAGCGACGCGCCGACAACGCGTTTACAATAATCACACATTCTTGGCTACTATTGAAAACTACGAAGGTAATGTAACATTCGTGAAAATATTATTTAACGGCAAACTGATGTACAAATAAAATAAAAGCCTCAATTACCGCAGAAGTGAGTGAAAATGGCGAATTCATCTGTCCTGTTTGCTGCAATAATCTTAAAGGATACAAAAGCTTTGTAAACCATGTGACGCATCAACACCCTGCGCTAGCAAGGCCTCAACCACTCGAAAGCAAGCGCAGCATCGAGCGTTTTTCTTTTGATGAAGGCTGCTCAAGCGTTTTGCAAGGAAGTAACGATAATAAGAAGCAGAAATATGGAGGCCTGGCAAAATACCATGATTTTGTACCAGCAAAGCTTTTAATAAAACAGCCAGCTAGTAACATGGCCAGAAACACTATGTATCTGCTCCTTTTTATCAATGGCCCATCCAGAAACACGCTCAATAGCTCCGTTACTTCAAATGCAAATTTTGAAGCACAGCTTGTTTTCAGCAGTACCGATCCTTGTAATAATACAGCTACCATTACAGCATCTAATAAGGCAAGCAATAACCTATCAAGCCTTTACAGTCAAGTTCAAAATGGTCGCTATTCTAAAGCATTTAGTATTTTTGGTCCATTTGTAAAGCTAAATAGGGACTTGGAGGAGGCTCTCGGCTGCAGTTTTTCTCATCGAAAACATCTACTTTCACTGATTCCAGCTTTGTTTGTTGGAGGCGTCATTCAGGCAAAAAACTTTGTTCTTATGATAACCTCTTGTGAGCTATATGCTCGGGATGCTAATATTGATGAGCATTTGGAGTCAAATAGGGGCGTCTTTCCTTACATGTTTGAAGCAGAGTCTAGAAGATACAAAGGTATTACTATTAAAGTTATCTAACAATCTGATGGAGGGACAATCATCAACAAACTTCATTGGGCACTATGCAATTTAATTTGTTAGTAACGGGAAGTCTGATTCTATACCCATAGCTTTCGAATATCACTTCTATTGGGCTAGGTTGTAATACGTTTCTCGTAAATGAAAAGATGAATGAATATGTACTAATATTTTCAGAGAAGAACATATGAAAATTCATGATGAAGTTTGCCGACGCCTCAAGCATTAGCCCAAAGATACCAAAAATCGAAGATGTGCGTCAACTTACTACGCTGCTACGACGTCCCTCTGCATATCTTTACCGATCTCATCTTCTAGAAGATCGGTTATTACACCCGGTAATAATATTTACCTTATCAAAATACCATACAAAAAGCTTCAGAGAAAAGCCGTATAAATGATGACAATGGTATTATTGATCGACCCAGTCTCTGTCTCGATAAAACGCAAATAGGTGCATTCACACCAAATTGATTTTGATACGATTTAAAATTTCATAATCCGACAAATAACCCAACACAAGTTCAAAGAGGCATTGCTCAACCTATTCATTATAAATCGACCTTTTGTCTGTGATAAAAAGAAATTTTGGCATGTCTATTTTAATAATAATATATTTTCATATTTATTTTAATACTTCGTTGGCCCGCCTTTGGCGACGATAACCGCTTGGCATCGACCATTCATACTTACAAAACCTCTTATTTGATGAGTCTCTTTCCACCATTTCACATAGCCACCAGTATGGCAGCTTGCGCCATCTTCATGGAAGATGAAATCTCTCTCTTCTTCATCTACCAGTTTTTTAAACCAAGGGTGAAAATTCTTGGCCAAAATAACAATATATACGCCCTGATTTTCAGGACCATCGACGATCACCAAAGGCCCAAAGCCTCCTGCCCAAAAACAGCTCCATATCATAACACTTCTATGGTCCCATCTTGTTGTGGACTTAACATGACGATATTCGCATCTTTTGCCGAACTTACGAATAACTCTGACTCCACTGTCATTGCCCTCCACTGTAAAGCGTGATTCATCCGACCAAACCACGCTTTCCCACTGTTCTTGAATACAGTTGACATGATACAAGGCACAACGGAGTCTTCTCTTTTTGTTTGCTTCTGTAAGAGATGGCTTATGTGCAGCAAAGTGCGATTTAAAGTCCATTTCCTGCAAGTAGTTGATTACTGTCTGTCGAGAGATTGTAATCTCAGCTTGCTGTAATTCGAATCTTACAGAATTATTAGACGCAGATGGGTTTCTTCTTATAATTCTTTCCAAGCATCTTTGAGCTCTTTCGCTAAGTATTTTTTAGAGCTCCAGGTGTCTTTCTTGAGAGAGAAGATCCAGTCTCACGAATTCTAGCAATATCTTTTTGAACACTGCTCTTGGGCATCTGGACTATATCAGAAATACGACTCAAGGTGAAATCAACTTTATCGAGCCAGAAGACTCCCCAATACTTTTTAAGTTCGCGCTTTTAATAAGAGCTATGAATGTTATCTGATGAATTTTTGCTTGACATGTTTAGTTTGATTGGTAAATTTTCAGGAAAGATTAGAAAGAGTAGATATGTTTTCTTAAATTTTATGCTATCTTTATGACCATATCAAAATCAATTTTGTGTGACTGTATATCTGCCAAACTTTGAACACTTGAAGTTTATGTTCTAACCTAATTATTTACAAAATAGGCTATGTCCTCATTGTATACCCGTTGAAACTTTGTAGACAGTGTTCAGCTGGTAATGCTCACGATGGAAGCTTAGTAAGTTACTTTTGCTTAGTTAACTAATTCGTTATTGATTATTCTATTTTAATACTGTCAACTCCATCCAATAATAGGTCCGGAACCGAGACGCAACGCAGCATTGAGCATTCGATCGATTCTTGCAGATTATGTTAATGTTAACTGTAGTATTAGATCAAGGAATGCTGCATTTAGTAGGGAGCTTTAACCAGCACTATCAAACAGCCCCTTTGCACGTAAATATTTTATTCGAAAAAAAAAAATACAACGTCATCATTATCTTATCCAATCAAAAAATTCTAGGGTGATTTAAGCGAGCGCCTCTGCCCCTGCTTCACTCTCTCACCAAAAAAGGCCCTTTCTTTTTTCTTTACAAAAAAAAAAACTCGAAATGTTTGGTTTGCGCAAATTTGACGTTCCTGCTTTCCGTCCTGTTGTTCCTTTCATTGCTGGCGGTGCTCTCGTCCTCTACTTGGTCAACAAGGCTCAAACTGCCATGATTAACTGTAATTAAGCTTTTTTATTCTTATTTTTTTTTTTTTACATACTAATTGCCCATTTTCATCTATAGCTGAACAATACAGAAATGATCCCAGAAACCCTGCTTGTAAGTTTCTTGTCTTTTTTGTGGTTTAATATCTAATTTCTTTTTTTTTTAATAGTGGCTTCTGGAAAGAAGGCTCATTAAGTCAATGCTACAACTAAATATGTTTATATATATTATACACACACCCATACAATTGATATGAAAAGCCAGTCAACTTGCCTCGTTTGTAAATTCAATTGAATAAATTAGTATTTAACAAAGAGGATAGTAGAAAATAGAATGAACAAGATGAGTTTACATTAGAAATGGGCGCATAAAAGAGAGAGAGAGATAGTCGAGCGATATTTGTACTAGGCAGCAAAGGAGAGGAGTATTAATGTGTTTATTAAAAAGAAAGCCAAAGAGCCAAGTATATGTGAGTGTGAGTGTGTGTGTGAGTGATGTACTCATAAGTATGGCGTTACGCGTTTGAATATTATGTCATAAGATAGAAAATAAAATAAAAAAAGAGCGACGCTTTCTTCCTGTTAACTTTATATTATGGCTTTCAAGGTATTATGCAAAGGATAGCCTGTGTCTCTTCAGCGTCTAAATTTTGTCTGTAGTGTGTTTCTCAAAAAGTAGCTCAAGCAATTGACGCTGAGCTCATGTCAGCTTCAGGTGGATTTTCAGTTGATCAGCTCATGGAATTAGGTAAGATTAGACACACATTAAGAATATATACACATAATAATAGAAAACTAGCTGGTCTAAGTGTTGCCCAAGCAATACAAAGAGCTTATGATAATAACAAAAAGCCGCATGTATTAGTCTGCGTTGGTCCAGGTAAAGCCGTTTAAATGGTCCAAGGCATTATATCTTTAACTATCCTTTTGAAGGCAACAACGGAGGTGATGGTCTTGTTGCCGCAAGACATTTGTTTCATTTCGGATTTAAGCCTAGTATTTACTATCCAAAGCAGCCTGAAAAGGATCTTTATCAACGACTTCTCGTTCAGTGCAAGAACTTAGAGCTACCCATCTACAAAGAGTTCCAACCTGATCTTTTAGATCAAGCCGACGTCATCCTGGACGCACTCTTTGGATTCAGCTTCAATGGCGATGTACGTGACCCCTACAAGGAGGTTGTCAAGCAATTTGGGTCAACCAAAACACCTATTGTCTCGGTCGATATTCCTTCTGGATGGAACGTGGAAACAGGCCCCACAGAGCAGGTCCAGTTCCAGCCCGAGGTACTCGTTTCCCTTACTGCGCCCAAACCTTGTTCCTCTTACTTCAAAGGCAAGCACCACTTCCTCGGAGGTCGATTCGTTCCACCTTCGATTGCGAAAAAATTCGATTTTGATGTTCCAGACTTTACTGCTGGTGATCAAGTTGTCGAGTTAAAATAGCATAATCTACTCAATAAAAAGCCTTGTACGATCCTTTTCATAAAATATAGTAGAAATGGATGTTACGACTGTATCTGACGGCTGTCTGGGAGGTAGGCCTAGTATACACTTGTGGCTCATTCGTTCGCACGTCATTGAACGCCTTCTTATGTATAATGGATTATACTTCTTCGAGGTCCCACAAGGTATGTTAGCTCTTGGTCGATCATTTACTCAATTTGCTTTGAATTAGACCAAGTTACATCTCCTTCCTTACTTTCAATAACACTGTAACTCAACACGTCATATTGTCTAATATTGACTTATTCATGTGCAACCAACTAGAAAGCAGTGTTTCACTCTTGTTTTCTAAACTGTCCAACAGACTAATAACAATGAGCTTTGATACATTGTCTTGAATTTAATATGGTTATTCTTCCATTACTTAAGATTAGGGTTTCTAGGAAAAGATTTAATCTTGCCAGTGCTATTGTTTATACTTCTATTATGCTGTGAGCGACACCCATTTCCCATTGTCTACGGCTGTAATTTACTGGAAGGCAATGTATATTGGAATATTTACACTTTATTAATAACAATAAAAAAACATAATGCAGAGTTCGTCATAGATACAAAAAATGAGTGATGAAGATATGAAAGGGAGAAAAGATGTTAGTTTGAACTGATACGAAGATTCTTGAATGGGCCAATCAAGGAAGCATAACGTCTTTCAGCATGTCGTGTGTGTTCATTATCTGTAAATCGGATATTTTCTTTTAGCACGTTATGGATTTGAGTCATACGTTGAGGGTTTTTCAATACAGCGCCTGCGACCTTGCAGTAAGTTTGGAGTGTTCGAAGGGAACCATTCATATACTTGGAACCAGAAGACTTCTTCTTTTCTTTGCCACGCATCTTTACCCAAAAGTCATCCATACAGCTTTTTCTCTCATCGAAGCATTTTCTCCAGCGTTTCATGGTTTCTTGATGGGTCAGGCCTTTGGTACGCATAAACACATAATGAGAAAGGTGATAACACAAGATATATTCGAGCAATTCTTCGTCTGTCACTAAACGAGGATCATACTCGTCAATCTCTTCTGGAGTATATTCGATATGCTTGGTATTCTCCCTTTTACTGTCAATCGGTGTCTCTTGTTCTTTTAATCTGTCTGTTGTTTGTACGAGCGTTCCAGAATATTCGCTGGCAATGGACGTGACATACTCGAGCGTCATGGTATGACGAAGAATAATAGACATGAGAGCAGCACCCAATAAGGGATATTCAGATAAAAGTTCACTCGCAGCCGTTCTGCGTTCCTCTTGAGTCATGCCATCCTTAAACTTTTCATTCAAGATGTTACCGATATTGACGTCAGGTGTAGCAACGTGATGCAGATAAAACGAGCTGAATTGTTCAAGAGAGAAGGGAGCATTTGGCTGAGATAATTGTTGTTGTTGTTGTTGACTATACTGTGGAGACTGCTGGTCAACCTGATCAAAGAGGCTGAAATCATAAAGTTCATCCAATGGGAATTGAAATGGCATGGAAGATAAGGGCTCTGGTGACGACTGTCCTTCGGAAGCACTTGTAGTTGAATCATCACTTGTTAAGCCTGAAGAAGAAGGTTGTGTGATAGGTTGTGATAATAACTGTTGCATGAGTTCATCATTTGCTTTACGAAGTTTTTCATTCTCTTCCTTTAATGATTCAATTGTTTTTTCCTGGCATTCAACCTTTTGTTCCAATTGTGTAATGTATTCTATATTTGTAAATTTAGTAACCATGCGCAATGGATATATAAATTAGTTTTACCTTTTCGTCTAACACGAAAGTTACGCGCTGAAATTTTGTTTCTCAGCTGACGTCGTTCCTTGGAGGTCATTGCCTTGTATGAACCGCCCAGTCCTTCATCCTCTGAGTCACTACTTGAGTCTGACTTTTTCTTTTTTTTACTGTTGTAGGCATTTTGGGGCAACTCAGTCACAAAGATGGGTTCCTTAAACTTTTTTTTAGACATTGGCTTTGAAATAGATGCAGCAGTTGAAATGGTCAAAAAGTTATCATCGTTCTGGACCATCGACATACTAGGTTCGAATGAGGGTGTGATGTGTTGTTGAGGCGATGTTGTAGCTTGTTCCTTTTGAGGAGAACCATCAGGCATCTGGTTCAAACCAAGCAAAGTGCTCATCATTGTTCCATCAGTGTTTAGCCAGTCAAAATTAAGTGAGTTGTCCATAATATGAAAAGGAAGGAGTAAAACGAGATGAAAGTAAAGAAAAAGATTCGAAAATGATCCTTATTCTATATCTTCATCAAAGTGACTGATTTTCAAAAGTGGCAGCTGAGACATTTACCAAAATAAATAAAAATGGAAATGGACAGGCCAAATAGCTTACGCAAGTTTACTTCCATTTTTGGATTTAACTTATTTTTAAAGTCCAGACTCCTTCATTTTTATTTTAGCAGGAATCTCTATGATTTTTATCGTATTTGTCGTTAAATAAAATCCTTGTGTGCAATTATTCATCACAGCCAACCTACTCTTAACCTTTAAGTTGCCATATAATCAACAGCCATTGATTAAGCTATCGCAATGTTTCCTAGACAACAAAATACTATTATTTTGACTTTCAAATGAGAGCCTTCACAAGGAAAAAACTTTATATTATTATTATTAATCAACTGGTAAACACTCACATGGCTACATACAAGTCTATGAGTGGTTATGTTGCTTATCTTTTTATATTGCATTAAAAGCGTGGAACACAAGGTATAATATTATTGTTATGAACTGAAGGCTTTGGTATATAGAATCCAAAAGATGCACTATTGGCATAATTTAGAGCCGCTTTCATTGTCTGATTCATGTTATAGTCTTGTTGTGTTGTACTCTGTCTTTTCTATACATGTATGTGTTATTCATGGAGGCACTGTGAATAGTCATTCTTACTTCATCAAATAAAGGTGGTCCAAATGGATCTCTTGTCACCGATGATGGGTATCTACAATGGCTATCAACCATCTTTCTTTATCTCTTTCTCTTTTAGACTTACATTGTACCAGCTGGTTTTATTATTCCAATCGTATTATTTCTTAAAAATTTACATGATAAATATAACACACTATTCCTATTCTTTATCACTTACATCAATGGTCTGTTTACATTTTGTTGCACTAATCGAGGATCTTTTCTTCTTACAGGGCCGCCTCCGGGAGGAATGTTCATTAGAGAGAGAGAGAGAGAGAGAATGAGTGAGAAAAGGAAAAAAAAAAAAAACGCATAAAATTTTACAACCTGTGACTTCATAAGCCCTGTAGTGTACTCTCTCCAACAAGTAAACGATCTACATGTTTCACGACAAGATATTTCATGATATGAATTTAGTCATTTAAGAAGGTAAAAACGATAAAAGACATTGATCTTTTTATTACACATGATTCTATTGAACTCCATTCATGATCTCTCCTACAGCTGCAAAAATAAATAAAGACAAGTAATGTAGCGACTTTCTCTTTCTTGTTCTCCATCCTTCATTTGGGAGAGGAATTGTTTTTTTTTATTTCGACAACTGCCACCATTTCCAGTGACTTTACAACAGACTTGCTCCCTGCCCCTGCCCCCCCCCCTTTGATCACGCTCCGATCCATACTAAAAGGTGCGGGCCGAGCGGAAATCTTATTGAGCTCCGCACGTCCTAAAGAAGAAGCAACAAGCTTCCAAGTATTGTTTTCCTCCTCTAATCCAATATGGTATGTTAATGAATCTAGGGCATCATTTCCACAACGTCCATCAAGCTGCCTCATTTAATACACAACGGATGACTAAAACAGCATGATACAAAATCATGAACGATGTAAAGACGAATAACAAGTAAAAAAAAAAGCAGTGGATGGATGCAGTATGATTATACATGTATGGCAACACATATATATATACATACAGGCAGAGAAAAAGGAAGGATACGAAATGTCAATTGATGGATGGATGGATGGATGGATGAACGGATCAGTTGAAGCCAACCATACAATATCTCCAAATGCGGGAGTAAGCCAGCATGACACGAGGAGAGCGGGCTGTGGCCAGTGGAAATGATGATCCCCTTGTCGAATCTTTAAAATGTCAATTAACACTTCATCATTATATAGGCTAAAAAGGACGTTGCTGCTAAGCCTAGCTCCTCATCTGGTGGAAAGAAGGCCAAGAAGAAGTGGTCTGCTAAGAAGGTCAAGGACAAGGCCAACAACTTGGTTGTCCTCGACAAGCCCACTTACGAACGTTTGTTCAAGGAAGTTCCTACCTACAAGCTCATCTCCCAATCTGTCTTGGTTGATCGTCTCAAGTTGAACGGTTCCTTGGCTCGTATTGCTATCCGTGAGCTCGAATCTCAAGGTTTGATCAAGCCTATCTCTCGCCATCATTCTCAAGTTATCTACAGTAAGTTGTCTATTGCTATCCTTGCTTATTTATACTAATATCGCTCTAACAATAGCTCGTGCCACTGGTGACGAAAAATAAGTCAGCAATGAATAAATCCATTCATCTGTAAACTTCAAATAAAAATTTACTTAGCCTTAATCATTACTGTATTTAAAGGGCAAAAGGTGTGAGTGTGTGTGTGGTGCAAGTGTTCATTGATGATGCCCAATATGGCCTTGAAAAGCGTATAAAAATGATTCATGCTACGAATAGTGAACACGAGAAATTCCTACAGAGAAGGCATCGTATAATTTTAATTGAATGTTTAGTGTTGATGATTCTTGAGTTCTCAAAGGATAATAATGCATTCGTGGTAGATTCAGGCATGTATTCGTGGTCGACCTTACAAGTGTTTAGTCACTTGTGGATAAGAATTTTCAGATACCAAGTTATTCTGCTGAAACAGTTGAAGGATATAGAAATGATGTTACTAGCTATTGCCTTTGTAGCCTCAAATTCCACTGCCATCATGACGACTGCTTGGACCTGGATGGAAAATTTGATAGGAATAGTGATTTTGTCCGCTTTTAAGGATGTAAAAACATATGAAGAGACTCAAGTAGTGTATGGCTACAGCATGTGGTAAAAATAGTTGAAAGCAGTAGTTGTTCAAACTCTAGTGTGTAATAGAGTTGTCGGATAATACCTCTTTTAAATACTTGGATTTATCTACAGTTGTGTTTAGTATATATCAAGCTACGAAAGAATATGTGCACTGATTACGCATCTACCATGTCTGTGACTTAATTTTTTTTTTTTTTTCCTTGCTTGACTACTGAAAAGCCACCCTACAATGCACATAATTCTGATACCGGAATCACTGTATACATTCATGTGTGTGATCCCTGGGAATAATTATGCTGAGGCGTGTACATTGAATCATCTGTGAAATATCTATAGCAATAAAAACAACTTCCTGCATCACTTGCTTTCTTCTTCAATCCCACGCTTGTCTCTGGTTGGGGTTGCACAACATCAAGCCTTGTGTGATGTATGCTCCTCTATCTTTGTCAACAATGCAGCTTTAAGTTTCACAAGCGTATATTTCTTCTCAGGTTCCTGGGGCATGAATTTCATGCTATGAATCATCTTTTATTGTATTACTATGTACAATGGCCACCATTGATGAGATACTATATCTATAAATGACTGCTGCATTAGATTAAATTTAGAAAAGCATACATGTTTATTTGTTATATTGATCGGAATGTTACGATATGCATTGATGGGTTGTTTAATACATATTCTATATGCTCATAGTGAATGAATCTTATTTGATGGCCCTCAAAGACACTCTATTATCCTCGGACAGAAACATGAATTCGGTAATGGTTTACTCTATCATGTTTGTTTATGCATGTAAGAAAAAAAATATACATTTATTTACAAAGGAACATACACGGGTTCTTTTGGACCTTCACAGATTACCTTGAACTTTTCTCGAGCATCAGCAATTCGATTTGCAAAGACAATTCGAATATGTTTATAAATGTAAATCCTCTTTTTTTCCGTTCTACAGACATGTAAGTGAATCGCATATCGAAGCACATCATGATGGCCAGGCTGTTCACCATAAGACTTTTGCCTGAGGAAAGTCTTTGAGTTTCTTGGCATATCTGTAAAATCATAGGGTATCAGAAAAAGCTTGACCGCCGTCTTGTTTGGGTTCTTGACAACGACTTGGATTTGACCCTTGGGCGGTATACGATAGCCAGGCACAGAAAGGTTCTTGGACTGCAAATGGTCTTGGATATCTACCGTGCCGACATAGGGAGTACTATGATCATCTTGGAAATCATAAAAAGTGGCAGGGAACAAGATTGACCAATGTGGCGGGCACTTCAATGATGGTTTACAGTCATAACCCAAAACACCCAGCTGACAATGAAAGGTGATGGGTTTTGAAGGTTGAGAGGACATTCGACCAGAGAAGAGAGACTCTTCGAAGCTACCGACTAAAGAAAGTCCATGATCGAGTGAGCTTCTTCTTTGAGATGATGGAACAGATAAATATGAAGGTTTGGTATGAATGGGAGAAGTTGAATAAGCGACAGTGGAATGATGATGTGTAGTGTATTGCATTGTATGTGTTGAAGGAATAGGTATCGATGTCGTCATGGGATGGGTATGATTGATTTGATCAATGGCGGATAAAGAAAGTCTTGATAGTCGACGAACAGCGATGATAGGAGGCTGGTGGTGCTGCATAATAATTAAGGTTTCATCGAGTACAAGTTGAATGGAAATTGAATTACAGTTGAAATGATGAGCTTTCAAGCGAGCTAATTTTCTAAATTCCATTATTTTATGCTGATCGAAATGAGAGTTTGAGCATAGCTGATTCTTGTAATGAATCATTGTGTACACATGGTGAATGGATAATGGATTAGAATGTATAAAATGTGAAATGGTATCCAATAAACCCTGAATGTCATCTTGATGCGCATGAAAATGGATGATCCATCTTTCGATTAGACAGTTCGTATTTCTTTGTAGTATGTTTATAATGATTTCGCCTTCCGTTATATCATCACTAAAACAGCATAAATCATCTTGATCATGCGTTAGAACACAGCTATTGTTATGATCTTGTCTTGATTTAATAATTGTATACAACAATCTTTTCCAATTATTTTTATTTTCATGAAATAATACAGGCATCGTTGGAAGCATTTGCAGGAAAAAAAAAAAAAAAAAAAAAAAAAAAGAAGAGAAAAAAGATAAAAAAATTTTTTCTAGCTTTATAATACTTGGTAATCAATTCTCAGACCACTTCCTTTTAAAGCTAAAGAAGAAGGTTTAAATGCATTGGGTAAAGGTTTTTTATCTGGGGGAAAAAATTCTTTAGAAGCCTTTTCAGAGTAAAATAGACGGTATGAATAATACTCTTTCCAGCAGTCCTGACTTAATTGACTCCTTTCAACAAAATCTTGAAAATTGACTGAATTGTTTATAGGCAACTGTATTAAACCAAATGATACCATTTGTATCCAGAATAACACCTGGGTTTCAGAGTACTTTATATCCTGCTCTTCATTATATTTATATTGTTGGAGGTAAAAATATAGCTTGCTCTTTTTATAGTCCTTGGTTAATGTCAGATAGATGATCCGAATAAGACACCAAGTATCGAAAAATAAAAACTGTTGTCCATGGTAGAACCGTTGTTCAAAGTCGAAATCATTCAGCTGATACGGATTAGGCAACTGTCGCTTTTGATTCAATTTTAATGTCAAATAGTCAAATATCCGGTCTATCTCGTTCATTGAAAATAATCTCCAATCGTGTCCTTTTAATTTCCTGATCAACCCCTTATCCTGTACCCATATCTCTGCTATATCCTGTATATCCATATGCTCATCATTAACAACAGTAATAATAATTGCTTCCTCTCTGATCAAATTCTCTTGGTGTAAGAGTAACATCAGTCTTTCTCTGCTCTTGTCTTGTACTTCCTTTATGAAATAAATAATCACTTTTGCATGTTTTAGAGTGGATATACTGTTTTCTATATCTGGATAATCCCATAATTCAAACTTGTATGAATCAAATAGGATCGTTTCTACATTGTATTCTTCTGTTGGTATCACTTCAAATTCAGTATCAGGTTCATTCGTGTTGTATTTAAAGTAGGATTTATACAAAAATGTCGTTTTCCCTGTTCCTCTTGCTCCCATGACAACCGTTGTTATCTTTTCTATCCAATGTGAACAAAATCAATAATTTATATATCAGCAAAATGACAGGACTTACCTTGTTCAACTCTTTCACTCGTGCTTGTTTTGTTATGATTACCAAGCAGAGTCGAGATTCGCTTCATTTTGAACAAGAAAAAAAAAAGTTTATTTGGTATGACAAAATAAAAGAATTCAGGTCATTTATTTATTTAGGCTCCTTTGGTCACTTGCATCAAAAATCGAATACGAGCACAAATTTCATCTATCATTTTTATGTTAGCTTTTTTTTTCCTTTCTTTTTTTTTAAGGAAATAACTTACAAGCTTCCTTTGAGCTTTCTGCTTCAAGGTCATACGTCTTGTAATCCCTTTCTTTAAGTACTATAATCTTGAAATTTGATGGAACTTTTTTACTCTGTTTACAACTTCTTATAGCGCTCGCATGAAACGATGTCTAAAAGCATGTATTAGTTTTATAAATACATCTTTTTTTCTTTTTCTTTTGTCATTTACCGTCTTGACAGAATCAAACATGCCTTTGTGTTCAGGTGGCATTAAATGAATATAATCTCCGTCAATTGCTAATATATACACTTTTTTACTAACAAACATGGGCATCTTTCTGCTCACAGAATATTTCTGCTAATACTGTTTAATAACTATGTTGTATAATAATGAAAATAAAGAAAATATTACCTTGTACTGTGAAAATATTCCATCATTTGCATTTGCCGCGGTTGGTCTTTGATTTACATCTGAAAAATACATTGGATGGGTAACTTCATCCTTTTTACGTTTAATAGGTGATCGCCATAGATGATTAGCTGCATAAAATGTGTAAATAGGATGAATGTATCTAATTAAATACAACTTACTGCTTGGTATTGTCAGTGTTCTCTCTTTCTTGACAAGTGTCAGATCTGTAATTTCCTTCATACTTTCCACTGTCGTATCATTTGGCACAATCACATTTGTATCTGCGATCGTCAACATATATCCATTTGCATCCAGTTTTCGCTTTCTGCACACTAACTCGAGCACATCGCCAATGAACATTTCTGCATAAACCGGTATGGCTGTCGTAGCCGAGACTTCCTCGTTTGTCATCAGTTTGATTCGGAAGTACTTTAATGGCGTCATTGGCATCGTAGCCTTGGTCAATGTTGCTTTGGATGATGGCACAGGAACAGCTACAGTAGATGGATCAGGTTCCTGTGCGGCTATACGATGATGCATGAGTTGATGGGTTGGTATATCTTCTTGTTGGGTTGAAGTGGGTATCGTTGTCGATTCAGGCAGAACAGCTTGTTGCTTTTTCTGGCGCAAGGCTTCAATGTCTGGCTTTGTCTTGCCCATTTTGGCCCGCGTGATGTCGTTTTGTTTGACTTTAAAGTCTCAGTAAAAGCAGTCATTATCATGTGTATGTTATTACCTTGTGATGGTGTTGCTCTACATAAAGCAAATTGATCAAATGAGACACGGTCGATACGCCTTGTTCTGTCCACCGCTAAGTAAATCAATTGAGGTCAGATCGGATTTATTATTACTATTATTACTATTACTTACCTGGTAAATCTTCTTCTATCTCTCCATCGTCCTCAGCAATCAACAAGACCCACTCGGACAGATCATAGCTCTCGACCTCTAATTCAGGACCACGCTTTTGTTCTACATAGTCATATAATATATATCCAATCACATCATCAATCAATGCATCTGGCTTTACGATCAACTTTACAGGCTCATAGGGTTTAAACGAGCATGGTATATACACACAAAGATTGATCGGTTTAGCTTCTCCCTTGCCCGACGCAAATGCGTATTCTGCAAACGGATTCTCTGCTGCTGTTGCCTTTTCAGCAATGAGCGCAGATAACGCCGATTTCTGTTGTTGTTGAATTGGTGAGACCTTTTTGGTATATGACAGTGGGTGTTCGGTTGCAACGACTTGTGTGATCTTTTTCTCGGGCTGGTCCTCTGGAGACTCATGGCTGCTTGTCGGAAAGGGAAACATGCTCACGTTGGCTTCTTCGATTGAGGAACGTGGAGAAGGGTCAATGGCCGACTCCACAGAGGGATGAAGTGAAGTTTCTTCTTGATTTGGATGTGTAGCATTGAATAGTCCTACAGGTGGTTGTTGCTGTTCTTCTATTTTACTTTTTTATAGCTATCAGTATGTCTTGTTTATATTTGTTTATGATGCTTACTTTTCTAGTTCTTGTCTTTCTTCCTCATCCATGTCTTCTTCTTCCTCATCACTGTCAGTTTCCTTCTTCGTCAACGGTCGAATAGGTACATATTGCTTTCTATGTCGATAACTTCGTTTTGTTGTACGTGGGCTTGTCGTCAGTTTGCTTTCGGTCATAGGAGGAGAATAACAGTACTGCATCTCAGGATAGAGAGGTGCTGCTAGTCTCACATAGTCATCTGACATGACAGTAGGTGGGAAGCTAATGATGCGTTCTCCTCGTTCATCTACTCGCAAGAATTTTATTCGACTAATATGAATCAAGTATAAAGGATCTGTAATCAGTGACATTTTTATTTTTTATTTTTTATGCTGTTTAGAAAAATATATTAAAAAAAGAAGGAGGGGAGATTAATAGGAAAATTACATAATGATTTAACCCTTTTTTTTTCTCTTTTATTTTTAATTATATCATGCAACGATTCATTAAACCACCACCACAGCAACTAAAGATGACTCTTGTTCAGCGACGCATGTATTCAAATCGACCATTAATTCAACTTTTGATGCGTATGACACCTACTCAACGGCGTATCGCTTTATTTGGTACAGGTATTGCTGCGACCCTTGTGCTAGGCCCATTTCTGCTGGTAGGTCTTGGTGGAATAGCAGCAGTAGGCGCTTTTCAATTCTGGAAGCTCAAGAGACAACTCAATCAAGCAGCAATACAGCAACAACCCCTGTCAGTCTGGTCAGACCTCTTTGCAAACTATTACAATGTTCCTTTGTCAAGAAACAGCGTATTGCAGGAAGAAGCTCTGAAAAGAGTCGAAGATTGGGCACAGACCGATCATGGTCGATCGACTCTGATGGATCATGGTATCCGACCTGACGATTTGACCAGTCGTGCTTATTTACGAGGTACCTCATCCACATCCATCATGGTCCAAGGTATTACACAACAGCGGATAAAACTCGAATTTGATTTACGCGATTGTATCTTATTGGTTTTTGCTGATCAGGATTCAAGTATTAAGGATGTCCAACTGGTCAATCGAGTAGGACATGCATTGCATATACCACTGACAGTGCAACAACAAAGAACAGGAAGGGTTATTGAAGGTGAATTTCATGATATAAAATAAAGAATTTAATAGTAGAATGGTGATTTTTTATGGGTGCGTGTGGGTGTGTTGTATGTGTCAATGTAGTAAGTAGTAAGTAGTAAGTAGTAGTAGTGGTAGAAATAAAAGTGTTTAAACGCAAAAGTATATTGAGGTTGCGTATAGTAGTGTACAAATAGTAGTCAATAATAATAGTAATAGTAAATGGACACCTGCCATTCGTTGTCTTCTTTTTTGTTCTTTACTCTTTAGTATCATCAAGTCGAATTACCATAACACTCAAGTTATCTGTACTAAAATTAGCCAATGCATGATCTAGTAATTTTTGGCTTGCGACTTGAGGGTCTTGTATATCTTTGATGAGGTCAACTGCATCTTGATCTTCACAAACATCCCAAAGCTATTAAACATATAAGTACACATTATAAGAAGATTTGTATTCAACTCACTCCGTCGCATGCTAAAATTAGAAACTCGTCGCTGGGTCCTAGTTCTGTCTCGGTCGTAAAGGGATTTCCAACAACAAATTCCTTCATGACACTGTCGCCTAATGATCGTGTTACGGCTAATACTCCATTCACACGGTTGTTCATCATAAATCCTCCCAAGTCCATGATGCGTTTTGCTTCTTGAGAATCAGATCCCTTATGATCATAAGACAGTCGAACTGCTTTGTTTTGACGACTATAATGAATGAATACATAAAGTAAAGAAGAATAATAGCTCCTTACCACAAGACAGCACGCGCATCACCTACGTTTCCAGTATATAAAATACGCTAATGTAGAGGGTTAGTTGTAAGAATCTTGTAATAAATATATATATCTAACCTTGTTGTTTTCAGCCACTTTCACAAAGGCAACGATAGCCGTACAGCCAGAGAACTTTCCTTCACGTTCATTGACTTGGTTGTCCACTCTTAGAAAAGCTTTATTTAAAATTTCCGGAACTGATTCGTCTGGGTTACTTTCTTCAATTACGTTGGCCAACACCTATTTATGATTATGAATAATTTGTAAACCTCTTTTTTCTTTACCATACTTTATCAAAGTTATTCCCACACCATTCAGCTGTTGCCTTTCCAGCATGTCCGTCAAAAATAGCAAAGAAGCCCTGACGAGGTACACCCATGTAATTGAATACAAAGGTATGAGCATCTTCCATTGTTCTACGACATCGTTTATTGCGATCTTCAGATACTCCTAATAAGAATCCAGGTGCCTTTTTGGCTTGTTTTGTTGAAGTTGTTGTTGCTGTCGTAGAAGATTGCTCCATAATAGAAAAAAGTAAAAAAAAAAAGAAAGGAAGAAAAAAGAAAAAATTTATTGTTAATCAAAAATGTGTCCCCCCTTTCTTTCCTCTTAAACTCCTTTCAAAATAAATAAAGAAAAAGAGAACAAAAAATGTTCTCCTTATTTTATCTTTTGTAGCTTTTTATTAGCAAATTTGAGTTTGGTTTGAGTTCTGTCGACATCAGCATCCAATTCATCCAATAATTGATTTTGTGTATCCAATTCATGTCCAATCGTAATACCCAATTGCTTTTGTCTGGCCAAAATAGAACTAAACTGTTCAATTTGCTGATCTTGTTCTTTCATCAACTGGTCCTGATAGACAACTAACCCTTCATTATCTAATCCCCTTGTCACTTCTGTCTCTTGTAGTTGTTTTTTGTAGGCTGCACCAAACGCTCTTCCCATACCTTTGCGTTCTGGTTTGATTTCATTAAATAGTGCTTTTCGTTCCTGCGTGACAGGCTGCTGCTTTTGTTGTTCAAGTTGCTGATCGGCGCGTGCGGAGGTATTAGCGAGCTGCATGAGAGCATCCTTTTCATCTTTGAGAGATGAGACCATATCTTGTCGTCTTCTCAGTTCGCCCTCTGATAAAATAGCTGATAAGCTATTCAGTCCGGATTCAAGTGTCGATAACTTGGCTGACAAAAAGACGAGGAGCTTCTTGGCTTGTACTGTGCACTGGTGTGATGCTGATATTTCATTACGTGCCATATGGGTATGTTTTCGATTCATCAACGATCTGACTTCTCGTGCCGTGTTGCTCATCGTATGGTATTCATCTAGCCAACTCTCGGATGTGTACATCTCCTTGGTTGATAATGTATTGTTGTTTGGTATAGCTAAAAACTCTCTCCAGATATCTGTCAATCTCCATCGATCGTCTCGGCTGCTCAGAATACCTCGCAAGTAAGCCTCAAGTCCTCGTCGTCGCTCTTCGATCCTTTCTGGATCATTGAAGGTCCGAGGAAAGTAATGTTTGGGCGGTAGTGAAACAGGCCGTGTATGTTTAGGGAATATGGTTTGAAACATGGTGTCTAATTTCTCAAATTCTGAATATCGTTTCCAGACAAACCAATTGCGCACCGCAGCATGTACTTCAATCTTGTAAACTGTATGTGGTTTAGGTTGTTGTCGAGTTTCAGTTTCTCGAATGTAGATGGCTTGAACGACTTCACTCATCAGTGAAGAAAGAAAGAAAGTGAGAGAGAGAAAAAGAAAAAGAAAAAAGGAAAAGGGAAATATTTTTATTTGCGTCACAAATAGAGTCATGCCGCCTTCAACGTCTTTAAGCGGGGATCAATTCGGCTATTATTTATTTGCATTAAGCCAGTTTTTGAGCAACGACAACGTTGACATTATAGTATCCACTTGTTGTTGCCATGCAATGTTCTAGCTCTTTGAGATAATTTTCTTGCTCCGCTTTGTTATTTAAGCCTAAAATGGGTGCTGCTACAGTCATTCCTGTCTTTGAACCTTCTAACCAACACCAAATGAGCTTTTTGGCTAACCGAGTTCCTGTTGCTGAACAAGATGTTTGTAACATTATTATTGTTTTATAAAAGACACTTACTGGTATCATTATATCGAAACTGTGAGTCAATAATCGCTGTATTGCCAACCTCTTTTAATAATCTTTCTAATTCTCCTCCAATACGTGGATTCTGTCCTACTGCCTTACAGATCGTATGCACTATTAAAAAGGAGGAACTATTAATTGTCTATTTATTTCTCCCTTCGTTTTTTCTTTTTACCAGCTGATAAGGACTTGTAAAAGACAGTATCCTTTTGCTCGGGTAGCTAAGGAAAGGTAAAGATGAGGGCTTCTTTTAATGTTACACTTTATAATCTTACTTCAATGTTTGCATCAACTATCTGCACCAATCCTCCTGGCTTGGTTACGCGAAGTAGTTCTTTGATTGCGCCAGGCCATTCATCCTCACGCAGGGCAAAGATCATCAATCTCATGTGAACAAAGTCAAAGGTATTATCTTCATAAGGAAGTGTTTCCAAGATATTTCCAATTTTGAAAGTGAATTGTTTTGGCATCATGTTTGTAGGAATGGCTTGAACTATGTCACAGCCATGATAATCACATTTGGGATAATCAGTGATCATATCCTATACTCTTTAAATCAACTCTTGGCTTTTTTTTCTGCTAATCTCAACTTACCATTATCCAAGCTCCTGAACCACAACCGACGTCGAGAACAGATAAATTCCCTTTGCTGAAATCCAATGATACACTTGGCATAACATTTCTAAGCTACGAATAAGCCTCCAAACAAATACATTTATATATTTACCAAATATTACCCTTCAAGCATTTCTTTAAAAGCAAAATGTTGCTATACAACAGTAAATATTTACCCTGTATTTTAATCTTTTTCGTTCTTACCCCTGTTAACCTCATCTGCTCTTCGTCGTCCTTGGGAAGCCAATAGCTTGATGTCTCAATATCATGAAACTCTCTATCTGAAATAACCGTCATAATATCCTTGCGTGATTAATTCTAAAAGAAATAAAGGAAACGAAAAGAATTTCATGGTTTCTTTCTTTTCACTGTACAACATTTGTACATCATACCAGAGGACGGACAAGGTCTGACAGAACCTTGTGTACTTGGACTTCCAGGAATAGCAATATCAAAGTTGCTCAAAAGTTTGATGGATTGTAAGAACTTCTTTTTCTGAGAAAGAATTGTATGTTTAAAGAGCTAATAAGACACATATTATATTCAAAAGGTGGGAAAAAAAAGGAGGAAGGGTTGTCTTTAAAGTATCAATATGAGACATACTTGCTTAGATTGATCAAATAGTAGCTATTTTCCATCTTGGATGTATCCAAAACAAACTCTTCATTTAAAGACTAAGAAGCATATCACAGTAAGGTGTTGCTACTTTCGTTATCAAGTAATTCTTTTGGATATCTAGGCCTTTATGCAGATTAAACTGTTGCATAAAAGATTCATAACAATATGCAAGCATGGCTTGAAATGAGAGTCATAGCTGTTGTTGTCTGCAGTTTCCCTTGCTCCACCAGCGAGATAAAAGAGCAAGTGCTTTGCATTTTCCAAGATAAAAGAAGCATTGTCTTGGTCATACTCCTCTCTTGACTCATTCTTTCGTCCAAGGGCTACTATCAACAACATATCTCATGGTAGCTCGTTAAACTACTTGTCTTTTTCAGTTTCATATTTTAAAGCCTTTCGCTTGGAACAGTATAGTCTGTGGCCTCCTATTTGACAGCTGATATCATAGTCGTACAGGTGATTCAGTTAGGTTCCTAACCGATACATCTAGACTAGCTTCATCCTCGTATATCTGTCGTTATCTGTAGTCTCAGGCATGTAAAATTCACTCTTGTAGTAATCCATTGTGCGATATCCTTCCCCTGCCATAATTTACACGGAATTACTTTGCACAAAGTACTTTCATATAACGCGCCATGCTTAATTCTTATTGGTCATGATGAACTCACTTAATAGTCCTGTTTTCATATATAAAATGACTTTATTTGTAATAATGAGCTCTCTCTTTTTTCTTATTTATAATAAACACACATCTGTATTTGTTCTTTTTTTATTAGTCTGAACTATTTTTTGCATTCAAACCAACCAGTCTGAATTTGAGAAATGCGCGGATCTTAGAAATTGCCTTCCCGTTCCTTTATTCATGTGACTGAAAGTATATTTTTCTTTTTTTTTTTAAAAAAAAAAAAAAAGCTACTGTAAAAACAGAATGATGTATCTGAATGTAATCAGAAAAACAGTCAAAGATGAAGTGAAGGTATCAGTAAAGAGAGAAAGAGAGTAAACAAACTTGCAACAAACATCAGGCTTCCGACTTTACTGTGATCAATCACCTGCAAGCTCAGAATTTGGCGGAGGGAGTAAAGAGAGTGTGACAAATGATTACTGATAAATATGAAGGATAAAAGCCAGCCCCTTATTTATTCTTCCCCCTTTGTTTTTTTAGCTTTTTTTTTTTTGGGAGGATATAAATAGGAGAGGGTGAGTTTATTGTTTTCTTTTTTAAATTAAAAATTGTAGCAAAATGGGAAATCGTTTAACAAAGACATACAGTATTCCAAGAGAAAATATAGAAAATAAACATATCAGAGAACCATCTTCAACAAGAGTTATGACAGATTTCGAACAAACATCATACACAGAGTCAGCAAGTAGTGAAAGTGCATTTGACACAACTATTCCATCACAAAGAGAATTTCATCAAGTTCAACAGTCAACTTATTGGCTACCTAAAGATGACGAAGAACAACTTAGACTGACAGGAGTAAGATAGATTAAATACAAATATATATAAATTAACCATGTTGTTTAGCAACACTTTGCTTTTAAAGAAACATTTGGAGGGTATTTGAATATTAACAAAAAGTGACAGACAAGGGTCTTTACTCATCTGATATTAGAAATGTGATGCCAAGTGTAACCGAGTTGATTAAATTTGACAACGAAGCTTGTGTTCTGGACGTTGGATGTGGTTCAGGAGCTTGGGTTATGGTACGCTTACTCTTTTTGTTAAAATGCACAATTTGTAACACGACATAGGACATGATCTCCGACTATCCCAATTGTGATTACCACGGCTGCGATATAGTTGATGTAGTCAACACTGACATGATGCCAAAACAATTCACTTTCAAAATTGGAAATATCTTGGAAACACTTCCTTATGAAGATAATACCTTTGACTTTGTTCACATGAGATTGATGATCTTTGCCCTGCGTGAGGATGAATGGCCTGGCGCAATCAAAGAACTACTTCGCGTAACCAAGCCAGGAGGATTGGTGCAGATAGTTGATGCAAACATTGAAGTAAGATTACAAGGATGTATGTATCACAGTTTCTAAGTCACAAATAGATGCCAACCAAACAAGATGACGCCTTCTACAAGAGTGTATACGCAGGCAAGTTTATTTAAAAAGAAAATATGTCATTTTAGTAATCAAACTTTTAAAAAATAGTTCATCAAACCTGTGCACAAAGATCACAAAATCCACGTATCGGAGGAGAAATTGAGAGAATGGTTCGAGAAGCAGGCAATACCAATATTATTGATTCCCAGTTTAGATTTAATGATACCAGTAATACTAAAAAAATATATAGTTATTGGATTATTATTGATCATTATTAAATAGCTACTAAAACAAATTCAGCAAAGAAACTTGCTTGGAGTTGGATAAATGGAGTCAAGAGCACAATCTCTGTCCTAGGCCCCGTGATTGGTCTTGAAAATGAGCACGACCAAAGAGACTTTTTGAGAGAACTCAAGTATTGTATGGAGAATATTAGTGGTTACTTTAATGTAAATGTCGTTGTTGCTCAAAAGACTGCTTAAAAAAATAAAAAATAAAAAAAAAGTAATTAGTAAATGCCACTTTTAAATATATAAAAATGAACACTTTATTCTCTTAACTTTTTATATAGTGTTAAGATTCATACAAGAGTGATAATGAAAGGCAGACAAAAGTAAATACAAGCTGTTTTTTTAAGCTCAATAACAGTCATCACTTTAGATGATTACCTATCCTTTCTTTATTGCTTCAAAGACAACATGTAATACACAAAATGAACTTGATATTTTTGAGAGAAGATAAATGTGATCAACACTTATGAATAACACGTAACTGAAATACTAACATTTCTTTTGCTTCTTGTGGTCTCTCTTTTATTATTTATTGTCTGAAATTATCACTTTTCTATCAGCGTGTGAATCATTTCTGAATAAAGTGTAAAGAAACTATTTATTATACATAATGTACTTGTTTTATGCAGCTGAACGAAGTAGTGCGTTTGCTACAAAAAGTGCTTCTTTGGCTGCATCATCTATAGGACTGTATATATCATTTGACTTTTCCTCAAAAAGAGGGACATGCGTGCTGCTCTCACTGCTAATGCTACTTCTACTACTGGCACTTGCACAACAATCACGACTGCTCATTGATTCATCCAGTTCATAAAGCAGCATATACGGGTTAGAATGCAATACGTCTTCTAGTGTGCATTCATCTACTTTGGTATCTGATATCCTGTACCACACATCCTGTCCATTGTAAATCTCTTTCTTATGCTCGGCACCACATTGATCACACTCGCAACGATCTGTGTATATCCGTCTTTTGTACGCAACAAAATGACCATAGCTGTGACTTCCATAGTGTACAACGATGCTCATGAGCTTATATATTCTTCTATCATGACTTTGATCAGATGGACTTGACATTGATTCTTGTGGTTGCTCGACATTGATATCTGCTCCGTCTGTGGTATAAGGCCCTATGTCCAGGTATTCTGGGAATAATAAGCGACATTGATTCTTGTAAACCATGCCAGTGCTTAGGTATGCTGATCGTGACACGTGTAGACACAGGATTTTGGACGGTTTCGCCAACATAACTTGCTTACTGCTCAAACAACTCATCCTCATACACTCTTCCTTGGATCCTTCTTCATCGTCATCATCTATGCGTCTCATCTTTAACAAGTGTTCCATTCGAGATTTCTTGGCTTGAAGTGGAGCTAAATGTTTTTTTTTGTTGGTCTTTTTTGAATTTTTTTTCAAACGTGCAATTTCTTGTTCAAGCGTTTCTATGGTAGCGATAAAGGAGCATCGACGACAAGAAGCGTCTTGCAGGTATTCTATATCTGTAAATCGAGACAGACATTCTTCTAGTGTGGCTGTATACTGTAGACGTCAAAGTTAAGTAAATGCGCGGTGTGACAGTTAAACGTTAGTACCCACCTTGTTTGGCAAATTCAACTGTATATTATTAAATGAAAAGTGTCGAATGGCACCCTATAAGAACTAGTTTGTCAATCAATTAATACTTTATCTCTCTCCTATTTCTCTTCTTTCACGGCAGAAGAGAAACTTACCGTGTATTTGCACTTTAGACAAGATAATCTATTTGCCAATAGTCCAGTCAATGGATTCTCAAACTCCTTTCTCTTGATGACTGGGTTCACTAGACCCTTGAGCCCGCGACCTAACCATGCATGGGAACTACCACGCTGTCCCTGACTGTCTACAGAGAGCAATTCCTTGAATCCTCCGCCGAACCGTGTGTACTGAACAACACGTTGTGCCTCAGTATCCAATGCACTAGAAATTAATTGAAAGAATTCTTGAGCGTCTTGTTGTTCTCTATTTGTGATGCGCCGGTTTGAAGACAATGCCGTAACAATTTCGGTAGGTCGAAACGAAGTACGGCGATACATAGGCTGACTTAATCGTCGTAGTGTCTTTAAAAGTGAACGGCTAACAGGAAGTGGAAGCCCAGGTGGTGTTGCCATATTGATGGTTTGCAAATAATCATGTAGATAAGTAAGTGAAGAAAATGCCTATTATTTAAAGATGATTCTCGGATTCCCCTCCTTTCAAATTCTTTTGTTATACCTGTAATACAGAATTGATAAAGCAAGAGTTACCAGTGTTAACAAGGCCTGAAACAAGTGCAGAAGGATCGTAAGAAGGAATATGGGAAGCTACACAAATACGTGCAGCGTGGCGAGTGGTGGCTAGCTCGCTTTCTATAATAGATCATGTTGAATATAAAAACGTGTATACTTTAATTAAGCTACCATTCAGTTGCTTTGCTAATTTCTCATAGTACTCCTTGGGTCTTGTATATTGTGTTAGATCAGGAAGTCCAATGAATTGAAAGATGAATGTAAGGAAACGAACAACAAAGTTAAGCGATGATGTATTATAATCCAAATGTTGAAAGACTGGTGATAATATTACATAAATGCCTATAGTTGCAATAACAAACTGTGTAAATGTTGATAACTCATGAAGCACTTTTTGTACATCCTCTAGTTGCATTACAAAGAGTTTTTTTTTAAAAAGAAAAGACAGAGAGAGGGAAAGAGAGAAAATTACAAGTAAAATACACAGGCATTGATTGGCTAATAGATTAGCTCTTCGTGTGACGCATAATGCACCTTTTTGTTTAATGAAGCAAATGGCGTATAAGAGCAATAAGGCTAATTACCAAAGTACAGATGCTTAAATAAAGCACGGGATAGTCTATCAGGTTCTTTGAGATTATATAGGCTTATAGTAAGTTCTATCTCTAAACGTTACAAGATTGTGTTGGTTTATATCTTCTTTATCATATGATATTACTCTTCGTAAATCAGAAAGAGAACTTAGTTCTTGCTGATGACGCGATATCAAATAATTTCTATAGCTGTTAGGTGAAAAAAGTAGACACTCTTCTGTTAGCTGTTGCACATGATTTAACCACAAAAGCAGACAAAGATAATACAATGTAAACGTTACTCAGACACATGACGTTCGCATATTCGCTGTACGTTGGCTTATGCAAGCTTATAAAAAATGGTAAGGATTATAAAAGAAAATATGACAGAACACGCGCGTATCTTGCAAATGCTGATAGTATTTTGAGGGCTTGCTCTCATTTGTGCTATTATATTTACATGGTATGCGTCCAAATGTTTGAAAAGCAGCTTCTTGCTACATATTGCTCAATATTTTTTGTTCTTTGCTTCACAAAAGATGGCCTGGTTTACTATCATACAAAAGCGTGGGGGAAGGTGCGATAAGGGCATTTGTGAGCTTATTTGAGCATATTTTTATAAAAGGTAAGTACCCACTAACAAATTTATACAGAGCCTTGTAAATGGTAGCAAGCATACTCAAACTAAGGGTGTGTTGTTTAGTTGCTCTCAAGATACCTTTGACTTTACTTTCTGCTCTATATGTATGCATGTTTAATGCACTACACTATTTCCAGAAAGAAATGTCGTGCTGGCTTGTCGCTTTTTCGTATAAATTGTATTATAAAATTGCAAAAATGCGACTTTACTTTCTGAAAAGGCTGTGTGTGTATTTATATTTATATTGAAACTTTCCGATCCAGTTTTGAACAAGATGGTCATGACCAAAGTATGCGGGAATCTAACCTTGGCACCATAAACAACACCGTTTCGAAAGCCTTTTAGGACAGACAAGGCTTCATGGAATCGTGGATCGAGTGCAATTTGTTCAAGACGGTTCATTTTTAAGAATAAAGATATAAAAAAAGAAGGAAAAAAGGGGAGGAAAGTGAGACTAAAAAGGTGGGACCAATAAGACTTTCACATGAATATTTAGTTTGCATAACCTTGATCTTGTATATAATTGCCGGTCAGAGCAAAGGGGGCTATTTTGGCTGTAAATTAAATGAAAGAGAGAGAGAGAGAGCAATTCGGCATCTTTTGTCATCTTTAGCCCTCTCTTTTTTTCGTTGTTGCTTAAGGAATAGAATACAATCACAAGCTCAATTCTTTTATCTGATTTGATGTTGCACAGCGGGTCGCAGTTAGATGATGACTTCACTTTACAGCATTCACATAAACTGATATGATATACAAAAGAGAAAGTCAAGATTTGCATGTAGATCATTTATTTCTATATTTGTGTGGGGAAACCCACCTTTTTTGGATAGGCGGTCACTGAAAAAGTCCTCTTTTCCTGTTGTTTTTTT